CCCGGAAGCACCTCAAGGTAACGGGAACTATAACCAACCATATACCTGACAACATCAGACTCATCAACAAGCAACAACACCCTACTATAACCACACACAGCATATAAGGCGGGACCAAAGAGCCAGAGCTCAACACCCCCCCCCCCCTCCCCGCAAGCACAATTAGATGAATACACACTACAACCTCCCCATCAGGACTCAGTAACCCCTCACTTGAAGGCTCACGTCGGCAATCGTCGAGGCACGCCAATCAGTGTCGGGCTATAAATCATATTTTAATACCACTCAGATATATAAATATATATATTAGGTGTTACATGCTGCTCACTGAATAGTCTCAAATGTATATACACTTGCTAATGGCGAGTCTCCACTACTGGCAGATTCACAAAGCAGTTACGCAAGAACTTACGAACCTGTACATTTTTGTCTCAATCTTTGGCGGCTTTGTTTACAATTATTAAATAGTTAATGAACTCCGAAGCACCAGGAGGCTGTTTATAACAATAAAACCAGTTGATTGGGAAGTTTTCATGCTTGTAAACTGTTTAATAAATGTAAACAAAGCCGTCAAAGATTGAGGAAAGATGTACAAGTTCGTAAATACTTGCGTAACTGCTTCGTGAATCTGGTTCATACCCATATTGTGGGCAGTAGTGGGCCCAATACCCATACTGTGGGCAGTAGTGGGCCCAATACCCATACTGTGGGCAGTAGTGGGCCCAATACCCATACTGTGGGCAGTAGTGGGCCCCATACCCATACTGTGGACGGTAGTGGACCCCATACCCATACTGTGGACGGTAGTGGACCCCATACCCATACTGTGGGCGGTAGTGGGCCCCATACCCATACTGTGGGCGGTAGTGGGCCCCATACCCATACTGTGGGCGGTAGTGGACCCCATACCCATACTGTGGGCAGTAGTGGGCCCAATACCCATACTGTGGGCAGTAGTGGGCCCCATACCTATACTGTGGGCGGTAGTGGACCCCATACCCATACTGTGGGCGGTAGTGGACCCCATACCCATACTGTGGGCGGTAGTGGAAAACATTAGAGACACATAATGGACTCAGAACTGAACCCAAAAATTCATTAAGTTAGGTAAAGAACAGTCTTGATAAGCTATATAGTTTATCTAGTTATAAAGAAAGTACCAATTTGTCGTGATGGACCGCCAGAAAGTACCAATATGTCGTGATGGACCGCCAGAAAGTACCAATATGTCGTGATGGACCGCCAGAAAGTACCAATATGTCGTAATGGACCGCTAGAAAGTACCAATATTTAGTGCTGGACCGCCAGAAAGTACCAATATGTAGTGATGGACCGCCAGAAAGTACCAATATGTCGTGATGGACCGCCAGAAAGTACCAATATGTAGTGCTGGACCGCCAGAAAGTACCAATATGTAGTGCTGGACCGCTAGAAAGTACCAATATGTAGTGATTTACTTCCTAAGTTCTACTTGAAGTGCCTATAAACAGCCAGGACCTGCTAACTTCTACTTGAAAGGCCAATAGACAGCCAGGACCTGCTAGGTTCCACGTGATCAATTAGAACGATAGACACTAGTGTAATACGGATCAGAATCATTCATAGAACAAATCAGCACAAACTAAGCTAGGAAATGGGCAATAAATTAGAGGAATATATTCGGTTGATAAGTTTAGCAGGTGTGGGGGACGGTGGGGGACGGACACGAGCAGTTATGGCCACACGTGTCGTGAGGGACAGTAACTGCTTAGATAAAATGCCGGGCCGCAAACACTTGTTGGATTAGCGCTGAGGACGGGACGCGGCACTGAATGGTCGGTTACTCATTACTCTGTTAATACAGGTGGCCATTAATTCAGTGTTGCGTTAATGATGGGCCTTTGGCCTAGCAGCTGTGCTAACATTAACTGGCAAATATATATGTAATATCTGGATATGTATAGGGGTACCACCTCTGGTGCAGTTGTGGGGACCCGTAGCCTCGGAGAGAAGCAAATACTGCAGGGAGCATTCATAGAAAAATTGTCGTTTGTCTCAAATTTATTGAGTAGTTGCTTTTGCCACCCCTATTTTATTGTGAACGTTATTGTACATAATTACATGATTGCAAATTGTGCTGCATTAACACATAAATGACATAACTATTGCAAGTGAAATTTAAAAAACACACCAACGGGATACATTAATAGATATCATAAACAGACTCGATCACTCTTGCAAGTCAAACACCTTGAACTCCTCCGAGGTTGGACGGACGCGTCCCAAGGATGATACCAGGTGTTTCCCCTCTGAACTGCCACACTGAGGCGCTGGAACAAGAAACGTGTCGCTCTTCGGCCTTTTGTAATGCTGATCAGTTTGTCGCCCAGTTCCTTCGGGAACTTCAGTGCACATTTTCTTCACAAATCAAGGGCCTCCAAGCCGATCAGAACACAGCTGTAGCAATGTGCCAGACCTCTGTATTTGATGGTTTTCTGCATTTCCCTGAAAGAAGCAGCGCCACCCGCTTCGCTTGCTCTGTTTTGGAGGTAGATACTGGCCAGTGTGGATGCTCATCTGTAGTCCTATACCACTAGTTTGCCATCCTTCCAAGGAAGCATGGTGATCCCGTCTGAAAGTTCCTGAGATCCGTTGTGTCTGCATAGGTGTGGTTCTCTTTGTGCTGGACAGTGGGCTGTGGCCAGGCTCCTCATGATGACATCTTGCCCAACCACTTGGGCTGAACGGTAGAGCGACGGTCTGGCTTCATGCAGGTCGGCGTTCAATCCCCGACCGTCCAAGTGGTTTGGCACCATTCCTTTCCTCCATCCCATCCCCCAAAATCTTATCCTGATCCCTTCCAAGTGCTATATAGTCGTAATGGCTTGGCGCTTTCTCTTGACAGTTCTCTTCCCTTTCCCTTCTTCATGTCCTGCAGCCTTACTCTGCTGTATATGACATACCAGACCGTGTTGACTATATTGGTCTGCCTTTGCACTCCCACAGATGCACCTGTGTTCAGTGAGGATGGGGGGTGGCAAGGTGAAGGATTACTCCGATACAAGAATACAAAAGGTATCGTACGTGATTAAGGCGAGTTCCCAGGGCTGCATTGGGCACAGCACATAAAAAATCTCCAGCATGGGGTGCTGTTACTGCTAGGAAGCGGGCTATATTTGTATTAGTAGATTTTCAAGAAGTTTATTTAAATTATAAGCAGGCCCCGTGGCTCAGTGGTTAAGACACTCGCCCCGCAAGCGATTTGGCCTTGGTTCGTATCCTGGCCGGGGAGGATTGACTAAGCACCAATCCTTATGTCCGGCCTCTGTTCACCCAGCAGTGAATTGTTGTTTCTAAACGGTTTGGCGGGTCGTATTCCAGGGAAAATTAAGATTAGGGACCTGCCCGAAAAGCTATGCGTGCCAGTGGCTTTACAAGAATGTCAGAACTCTTGTGTATATAAATTTAAAGAAAACTGAAGTCTTCTGTTTATTTACTTAAAATTACTTCTGTTGTTCTGTTTCAATTTCTGCTGTTCCATCCATCATGTAATTTTTATCATTCTTTTTTCCCCTTTTTCAATTCAGTTTATGCTTCGATCTCAATTCGATCGATCTTCGATCTCACGGCCACCTGTGCCAACACCTTGCCCGAAATGCTGTATTAGTGACTTTAGGCATAGTATGTACTAGCTCTATCTAGAAATCCAACATTCTGTAACTCATATTATATGTATGTACTTTTACCTAAATAAACATTTATTTATTATTTTTATTTAAATTAAAAAAAAAATAAAGAGGTCGGACATGGGAACATCAGAGGAAGCTGGACACGCAATTGCGTTGAAAAGATGTAAGAAAGTTTTCGTTCTTTGTGGGGGTGGTCCACAAATGAAATACACCGAAGGAAGAGGTTGTTGAAGTCAATTCCATCCATAATGTTAAGAAAACGTATGATGAAAACGTTATGTTGAGAGAGAGGTAATTAGCGAGTCAGATATAAACGGACTGGAGGCGGGGCATCAGAAGACAATGCTTACCTATCAGTGAGAATGGGGAAATGAGATTTAGCTCTTTTATAATTCATTCACATTGAATTATAAAAGAGATAGATCTCACTCCCCCCCAATGTCACTGATAGGTAAGCACTAAGTTCAAACAAATGCGCCAACTATAATAATGACGTCATAGGTAAACAAACAGACGTTTGGTTGTGGAGTTACCATATGACACAGTTTGGTTACACTCTCTCCGCTTTACCCAGCAAAATCAAACACCATCATCGTCATAATAATAATAATAATAATAGTTATGGCTTGTATGGTTTCCATTGCGGATGCTTTAAAGATTATACTCAGATCTCTGAATATGTTAGATATTAAGTCACAGCACATCCTCTCATGTGTATTTTATATATATATAAAACGCTGAACTGTAATGTCAATCCTGACCTTAAAAGCTTCTTAGAAGGTTGTAACAGAACCCATGGGCACAAAACCTGAAACAAATACCTATTTGATATTCCAAGAGTACGACTTAATCAAACTAGAAATGCGTTATAAATCAAGGGATCCAGAATGTGGAATGACCTTCCCAATCATGTCAAAGAGCGACTCATAAATCATCAGGACAAATAAGGGGGGGGGCATTTGACAAGCCGCCGGCTTCCTGTCCTCGCCGAAGGCACAAGTTATGGTAAACTTATTCAGGTAAACTTACCCGAATAAAAAATGTAATCTAATCTAAAAAGTGTTAGTGGCCCTAAGGTAAATTCAGGTAAATCGGCACGAATCCCGTCATTGACCTTATTTTGTGGCAAGTGTGCCATGAGCTTTCTCAAAGAATTGGGGTCTATAGATTCATATAGTGACAATACCAGACATAAACGCTGCCAGTTACTTGTTTCAGAGCCTTTTCGGACAGTGTGACTTCATGGCGAGCCATTTTAGCAATGGGGGAAAGCCCTTACTGTATCCTCAGTTCCTGCTCTGAATTTGAGGAGCTCGAAGAGATTCACAACTTTTGGCCATTCATTGTAGTCCCCAACTAGATGTAGCCTTTCAGGACATGAAATAATCCGCCCCTCAGAAAAGAACAATCTCAAAGTGGAACATTAGTGCTGGATGCATAATGGCAGTTCGGCGGCTGGCGTACCTTCAGAATCCGAGACGCGTGACAGGTGTGTGTACGGAGTGTAGGACGGTACATGGACACTTCCACACACTAAAGATCTCTGCAGGTGTGTGTGTGTGTGAGAGAGAGGGGGGGGGGGAGGCTTGTACTCTCAAGCTTATCAAAGCTATTATTATACTGTAATTCATTGTATGAGGAGACAGGCAGTCAGTTTATTCATGCAGTATATGTTAGGTTGATGCCGAGGTCTCCATCCCCTAAGGTAGAATTACTGAACCGCCCCAGAATCTAACTCCTGAGTACTTATTTACTGCTAGGTGGACAGGAGCATTAGGTGATAAGAAACACACCAAACCAGTTCTGTCCCGCCCGAGGTTCGAACCCGGAATTCTCGATTTGAAGTCTAGAACGAATCCAACTGTACTACTGGGACCCTAAATTTTGCTATTTCTTTTCACCTGATGTACCTGTTCACCTAGCAATAAATATGTACCCAGGAGTTATTGCATCCTGGATAGGCTAAGCATTATCATAGGGAGGAGGCCTCTTTAAACCTAACAATCTTCCTGGCCCAAACTGTGGAAAAGAGTTGGACTACACATTTTTTATTTAGTTTGGTAATTCTCATTGTCAGAGACAGGATGCCTTTACTTACGCTTGTACTGAGGTCCCCCCAAGTTGAACTACTGACTTGCCTTGAGAGGCATCAGGCAAAAGGAAACGTGCCCAACCATTTTTGTCTCGCCTGGAAATCTAACCTGGGATCCTCGATTGTAAGTCAGATCTGAGGCAACTATTCTAGTGTTAGATGCTTCAGCCACCATTGTGTTAGTTACATACAGTATGGGCATAGTGCTTTCTCTGTACAGCTACCTTAATTTTTTTGAGGAAGAAAAGGTCAGGGGTATTTTGGCTGCCTGAGCTCCCTCTGCAAACCACCTGTAATTTAGTTTAACTAAACTTAGCCTAATCTCAACATATCGTAACCTAATAGTGCATGACAATTTGAAATACAAAACAAGCACATTTGTTTTGTATGCAGTGCAATAAACCCTTATACAGCATCCTGCAGCCTCCCTCGAGGCACAAACCAGGGTTTTACACAACTCCCCCATGCACTTGAGCTATGTCAATAGGCCAATAAGATAATACAGTTATGTCTGTTCTCGACTCATGTTTAGAAATTCTGGGTTCAAATCTTAAGTGGAACAAAAATGGCACATTTCCTATTACCTAATGTCCCTGTGCAGTAAATATAGTAGGTACCAAGGAGTTAGTCAGCTTGTTGTGGAGATGCACTGTCATTAGTTTGACCTTTAGGGGAATTTTGATATAATCTTAACATGTTTAAATACACTGGCTGCCTGTGCCCCGACACAATGAATTATTATTATTATTTGTAGGGGCCTAACCTATAGTATAATGCTCTGTCTGGAATTTGGTAGGTGCCAGGTACATGTAGTAGATACTAGATACAGTACTGTATTTTGTTAGCTTTTAGTTACATTAGTAATTTCCTGAGAAATGTGTCTACAGCATTTACCCACAATGGACAACACGTCTTACCATAGGCAATGAATTTTTGTTTTGTTTTTAAATCGAGTAACTATGATTTACCTTTACAATGTTGATGTATAATAGGATTTAAAGGAAAGAATAAGTTAAGCAGAACTTGAGTTGAGAGAATTCTTTATTGGAGAAAATATTTTGCTTGTCTGGGCTTTATTAATTGTGAGATACACAGGGCTAATGCTTATAAAGAGAAAGAAGGGTGAGAAGAAATAATAACTCACATTAGCTTGTGCCCTTCAAAGTGTTCCCACATCTTTCAATTTCTAAAGAGCAAGATTTTAGTTACATTTTGCTGCCTCACTCAGTATCTTCTCAATGCCTGCACTGCTGACTGTTCCATCACTAACCTATTTCTTCTTTCCTTGAATATTTTTAAGTTCTTGAGAGCAAGCTCAGCTATCCAAGATCCCTTGATGTCACATGTCCACATCTCTTGTGATAACACAGCAACTTGCTATACTTTGATCCAAATGAAATGATCATGACGTACTGAGTGTGTCATTTCCTAGTGATGACTATCAGGTGAATGACTGATTTTCTTAATTCCCGTTTAAAAATTATATTTTTAAATGCAAATTAATGTATTATTCTTTGAAAGGCAAATGGATCAACAAATTGAAGGACCAGTTTTTATTACAAGTCCCATTTATTGGCAGTAATTTCAACATAAGGAAGCTGCTCAAAAGATATGGATGGTGATGACAGTGTTGTAAGTATTTGAGCAAATTAGTCTTTGCAAATGAATGTTGCATAAAAATCTGTGGAACATTTTAATATACATCATTTTGTTCTTGAAAGGAATATAATGCCTTTCACATATGACAATCATTGTTCAGATATACTCTATTGGTAGATTGAAGATGAATGGGCTGGCTTGCGTAGAAGGTTTAGCATTGAAGGGCTGGAATGGGAGACATTGGAGTCTGATTCGCGGACTCTCCACGTGTGGCGTTGGATAGTGGATGCTGAAGCTAACCTGAAAGCAGCTCGCCATATTAATGACAAATTGAGAAGACAACATGAAGAGGAAAAAGTGGTAGGTTGCCTATGTATTTGGAATTAATATGTTTATCTGGGTGTGGTAATGAAGAATATTGTTGGGTACTAGATATTATAGTAAGAATTAACTGAAGATGTTCAGAAGACCATGATGAATGGGAAGTCAAGTTTAGAGCACATTAACAACACACTAATGGGTACTGATCATGGGCCTACTGAGGTGTATAGTGCCAGGGAGGCAAAACACAATTTTGTGTGCCCCTTATTCCCTTAAACTCTTAACACTTTCGCGCTTTAGATTAGAGATAACTCGTCGCCGTTTTCTCTTACGATTCCGCATAACAGCCGAGTTTTCTCGTCCATCGAAAAAATATTTCTATAAATTCCATTTTTTAACCGAAATGGATGGGGATACTTTTGTTTTGTAGGGAATTTATTTGCGAATGTTTTGGTACCAGAATGAATATTATATCACATAAACTTCTATGAGTAAAAAAAAAATACACAAAGTATGTTTGGGGGTGTGGCGAGCGTGTGGCAGTGGGTTCCCTTTAGCTGTTGATATATCCAACACGTGGGAAATATTTGTATGTGTTATGTATATGTCTGTGTAGGGAATTTTACTGCGATCACTGTCATACAAATTATAAAATGTTTCAACAAGTATAAACATGACAAACATCAAACGAACGAAAACAATGCGTTCGTTTCTGCCGCGAACGCATACTGAGCGACGTGGTTCTATATTTGGCGCTTCTCTTACACATGCTTTGTACAAATGTTATACAGTTCATCTTATAGAAAATTTTATTGCGAACACATTGGTATAAAAAAGAAATACGTACATAGAAAAGTAGGGTCAGGAAACGTATAAACTTTCCAAGCATGATTTCCCCCCTGTGTTTTCGCCAGTGCGCTCGCGGCTAACTACTCTCCACTTCACACACTCTTGCGGGTGGGCAATTACCTATATTAAACATTCATATGCATATGTCCGTGTAGAGAATTTTATTGCGATTCCAATGATACCAAAATTAGCGATGTAGGACAACTGTAGGCTTCGCAACCATTAAGAGAGTGGAAACATTTTGTTGCTGTTTGGCGCTCTCGGCGAGTGATCTGCATAGTTTTTTATTTGGTGTTGATACTCCTTATGCTTGGGCGGCATTTTATAGGTATGCTCTTATAGACAATTTCATTGCGAACACAGTGATACCAAATTTAAATACGTGCGCCTTCAATTATTGTCAGGACAGTCAAAAGAGTGTACACTTTTCGGTCTTACCGCATAGGCGCGCGAAGTGCCGAAAGCATCTGGGGTATTGTTTTTTTTTTGAGCGCTGAGAGCGCGAAAGTGTTAATTCAATCTGCCTTTTATACTCTTGTTTTTCTAGCTAATATCCTCACATGTCAACCCTACCTTTTAAGGTACAGTAATCTCGCCATATTGTGATGAATATATGGCCTCTTGATTGAAAGATGCTTGCTAGTTAAATTATTATTATGGAACATTTCATGCTGCAGAAAAGCAATTAGTCAAAGAAAAAGGGATTAAATTTTTTGTGGTGAGTGCTGGTATTTTTGGGGAGGGTTCACCCCCTCTCCCCTAAGCTGTGAGCTGGTCCAGTCATGTCTAAAGGACATGCCCTAGGCCTCTGAGATCCACCCTTGCCAAATGGGAACCAGGGACCTGAATTTGACTCTACTTGAGGGGAGCTTCAGTTTCAGAGATAAAACCAAAACCTAGAAAAAATATCAGACAGCATAATATTTGGTTTTAAGTTCATCTTTGAGCCCCAAGCTCCCTGTATCTTGTTCAATGAACCAGAATCTGGTCTTGGTTCACTGTAGACCACGTAAGTCAAAAGAAGCTGATAGGAGTGGAAAAGCCCTTCAATATCCAGTACCATATGAATATGAATCCTCAGAATTTGTATATGTTGAGTAAGCTTAATTTTACAGGAACTGGAGAAATATTCTGAACATATACGTGCTAAATGTGAGGAACGAGTTAAAGAGCTAGATGACGAGGTCCAACACTTGAAGGAGGATTTGGAGGCTCTACTGGCAGGTACACAAGCAGTTTCAGCCTTGCTTCTTGAAGAAGGCTTAGAGGATGTGGCTCAGAGCTCATTGGGGGAACAGGTAAGCAAGCCTATATATCTGCACCTGAGTAATGTGTGTTTATGATAGTGACAGCTGTGTTTGCAGTTTTAGTGAATTGACAATTTTTTAAGCATAAAATTTGGATTTATTTGTGTTGTAGCTTTTTGGAATACATGGCCTATTTCACAATGGTGTCCTCAATAGATTGCTTACCTGCTCGTGGAGAGGTCAAAGCTGAACGAAGAACTGACTGCTGCTCGAACCAAACCAGCTTCTGATCGTGAAAAAGATCTGACAACTCAGCTCATCAAGGTAGAAGAGAATTTGGATATCTTAAGTAACATATCAATAAATTTGAAATAACAGGAAATTATTGGTAATTTTAATTTGTGAGAATACAGTATATGTTTATCTAGTTTCTCAGTTATTATTTTCCATCATATGGTTTATTGTTACAAATTCTCTATACGTTATAGAAAATAGGGTTTATGGATCTGCAATTCATTATCGTGGTTTATCTCCTTAATAAGCAGTGTATTATTTCTTATGTCTGGCAATTATGGTTAATACTTTTTCAAAACAAATCTATGACATTTAAAGTATTTAGTGGGTTTTATTGTATTTATATAATTTATTGACTTTTGCTATTTCAATTAAGCCTGTAAAGTGCCTTATGTTCACAGACATGTACAGACTTAGAACTTCTAAAGCGAACTCATCAAGAGGCAGAATGTCAGCTGACGGAAATGTCGGACCGAGTTGCACTACTGGAAAAGGCCTCATGTCAACTAGAATTGGACAATGAGACCTTGGCCTATAAGGTACAGTATGTAAGGCCATAGTTATTAGCTAGAATACATACATAGATATACATAGTGTATTTATACAGTACATTATATATACCTGCATATATACATGCATACAAAAATACTGAATAAAACAAACAAGCACACATGTTTAGATATAAATGGAGATCAAGTGGGCTGGCTGATCTAGATACAGTAATGAAAGCAGTATCTCACAAGAAGTCATTGTAAATACACCCAACATGCAAACCTTTTGAAGGCTGCAGGTAGTTCTTTTCATTATATTTGATTTTATTATCTTACAAACTACATGTTCTCCACTGCAAGGACTGATAATGGGGAATGCAGTACTGTAGTTAGCTGTATGTTTGTTATGATCATGACGAGCAATCTCCTTGTGCTTCTTGCAACTTTGGGCTTTTGCTTTGGGCTTTTGCCAAGGGTGTACTTAAGTCGCCTGTGCACCCGTATATTATTGGGCTGCTTGCATGGACGTTCCCAGGCGGTGTGTCTGGGTGGTGTATCCAGGTGTGCCCGAGCAGTGTGCCCCCAGGCTATGTTGCCAGACCTTCCTGGGAAAATGTAAGAGAAATGGTTAAGGATGAACAGAATGTATGCAGTGAGTTTGGGAGACAGTTGAGCGAGGAATTTGTTCTTTTGTAAGAATTCAAGAATTATTTATAGAAAAGTTAAAGGTAGCCGGTGTTGGGGAAATGGGGGGTAAGTAAATAGTAAAGGATGGGATGGCCACATGACCTTGTTGTCAAATGTGCACGGTGTTACTAAAAGGTGAAGTGAAAACTCTTAAGTAGTCTAATGGTTACAAATGGTGAAGAAAAGGCATTACAGCAATGAAATGTTTAGACTAAACAGATGGGTGGAATAAGGTCAGTGGAGCAGAGGAGCATAGGTATGGGGAAGTTAAGAGAATGTATGAAGGATTAAAGAGGGGAAAGGCTCCTGGTATAGGTGGGGAATAACTATGGATACTGTATGTTGAGGTATGTGAGTGAGTTCATGGTGAAAATAATTTAGATATATAAAGATGGCATGGCTGGAGAGCGAGGTGCCAGATGAATAAACTAAGGTCATTGTGGTCCCTATATGTAAGGAAAAAGGTAGTAGGAGGGAAGAATATGGAGACTATATGGGGGCAAGTTTACTTAGAATCCTTGGAAAGTTTGGCAGAGATGTTGAAGTTTTCCATCAGCTGACTCCCTCTCCCAGCATATATTCACATGCTTAATGCCATACTGCCTCTGAAAGTGTCTTAGCCAACCTTCTCTATATGAATGCCTCTTAGTAATCTTGATTTTCATATTGAAATCCTTTGCTTTCCTCAAAGTTCCTCAAGAGGAACCATCTTGACTCAATTTTCGTTGTATTTCATACTGTATCTACTTGTATCACTTCCACACAGCATCATTTACAATCTTTATTTTAGCCTACGTTACCGGTTTTATCACCTGTATTGCTGTATCACTTTCACTTTGAGTATAATGGCCAAAAATATAAATTTTCCTTCAAAATATGGAAAAATTTCCATTCACATTGTATTCAGTACACAGGGGGCCAGACAGCGCTTTGAATTCGTAGTCCTGTAATTCTGGGTTCGATCCCCGGTGGAGGCGGAAACAAGTGGGCAGGGTTTTTTCACCCTGATGCCCCTGTTACTTAGCAGTAAATAGGTACCTGGGAGTTAGACGGCTGCTACGGGCTGCTTCCTTGAGGTGTGTAACAAAAAGGAGGCCTAGTCGAGGACCGGGCCGTGGGGACGCTAAGCCTGGAAATCATCTCAAGATAACCTCAAGATATGAGACATTTCAAGGATGATGCTAATCATCCTTGAGTAGTTAAGATGCTAATCATCCTTGTAACTTGTAGATGTTTAGTATTTTCAACAAAATGATCAAGGAATGAGTGAAAAAATGTAATGTGTGCTGTGATGACAAAATCAATACTTGGTCAGTTACACCTCACATGAGAGGCATTTGGGAACTGTCTCAGACGGAAAACGAATACCTACCTGTCTGAATAAAAATAGTTTAAAAATGATTATAATGCTGTAATGGCATTTTTTTTAATGTTAGTATGATCCTTACTTTTTCAGTTTCTTCAGCCTCTTTAGTTATTTAACTTCCATAGAAATCCCATAGAAATCTTCCGATATAAATCCCCCACTTAGAAATCTGCCCATTAGTTTAATGTTGTCATGCATTCCCAGTTATGTTTTAATTAACCATATGCATGAACTTATATAACTTTGATCCTATCTGTGTAAAACCTTTAATAATTAATTATTCAACTTTAAGAAACATTTTTATTACATGTGTATCTCGAGCATGATTATAGTAACTTATTTCTTTAGCTCTCTGAGGCCTTGGCTGAGATAGAGGATAATGAAGGGCAACTCCGACGATGCGGCAAGAGTGAGTTTATGTAATAATACATGCGATGGGTTTGCATTAGGTTTTGTGCTGCATTTCTTGTATATGATCTCTATACTGTATATTTTTTTGTAGGCTTAGCACGATCCGTGCATGCACCAGGTTTTAATGAAAAACTGTGCCCAAATTGCTCCACGAGTGTTACTGAGGACTGGTCATTCATGGAGCTCAGTTAATGAGCTCCAGGACTGACCAATTCTTATTGGCAATCACTGGTGAAGTGATTATGGTATTATGTACACTAGGGGGGTAAGCCCTGGTAATGCAGCTTCGAACCCTGGTTGGGTCATAGAGTTTGTTTGTTTTATATATATATATATATTTATATATATATATTTTTATATATATATATTTTTATATATATATATTTTTATATATATATATATTTATATTACACACACACACACATATACGGCTCCCTGAAGCTATTGAACTGATATCTGATATCTGCCATATTAGTCTAGAGCATCAGTTACTGAAGTCTTTTGTCTACCAGAAACCAGAAGCCAGAACCTGGTTTCCTCACAGAGGCGCAGGGAGGCTTATGAAACATTCCACTATTTGAGAGTATAGTCATGTCTGCCATCGATTGTGGGTATAACCTGGAAAGGTAGGTGAACCATTACAAGTCCTGACTGGTAAAATATTGCAACTCAAGACCAAACAGAGGCAAAGAACTACCCCCAAGTGAAAACACCAAACTAGCAAAAAGTCCAATCAACCAGCGTGCCCGCTCGCTCATTAGTTCTCGGGGTAGGGGGGCCCCGCCCACACGGCCGCAAGCGCTGAGCCAGCTTTTCATATACTGATGTCGCCTAGAGCTGACGTTGCCTCTGGCCTCGGTTTCCTGCTGGATTTTACCTTGTGCGGTTGTACTGGCTCTGTGATTCTTGTGCTGTGGGCAGGTGTTTTAAGAAGTACACTAGCTGTATACATCTAGGGTTATCTTCCCTAAGCGCCCAGTAAGTACTGCCTTTGCATATCCAGGCTTTTCTTCCCTGGGACATTCGGGATTGCACTCCCGCTGAGGTTGGTGTCACTTGTCATTAACTTCGCCCTTGGGGTTCAGCAGGGGTTGTGGGGTGCTCTGTCTGGCCCTGGGTAGGGGGTGTTGTTGTTGCTGGGTGGGACGCAAGGTGTTTTGCACAGCTTGCAGACACAGTCACCTAATCATGGCGACTGTGTCTCTCTCTGGCCTCTGGTTGTTGGTGGTGTACTCTTGAGGGTTCAGTTTTTATTTTATTATTACCTGGAGGAGGTCTGCCTAGCTTCTAATTAGGTTCACCTAGGTTGTGTTTGGTAGTCCTCCTCTGGGCCCCTCGAGGTTGCATGCACGACTTCCTGGGGTCTGTTTGCTCGGTACTAGACGGGGATCAACCGACTTGGCTACACCAGTGACTGGGCTCCCCGTCGGGATTACTCCTCTTGCGGGTCCTGGTAAACCCCTTGGGGCTTGGTACATCTATGGATATGTCTTCTGTGTCTCCCCTCGCTTTGTACGAGTTTCAAGGTTGTTCATCGTAATTGTCTCAGGGTGACAATCATCTGTTCTGCCTCTGTCATATTGCTTGTTGGGTAGGTGACGCCTACGACCCTGTGTCGTGTGCAACTTGTTCCCCGCTCATCATCCATCTTACCCATTCTTCTTTGGGAGACCGTAGAAGTCAGGTAGCGGCTGCGTTCCATGGTGGGTTTATGTTGTTGCAATGCGTCCAATTTGTAGCCCGCTCGGATGCCCCAGAGCTGCCCTATTTTGATTTTAGGGAATCAGAATTGGGGGTGTTGGTCGCTTTGGCCTTGGTGTTCTCCGCTCCCCTGATTCCTTTCCCGGTGGGCGTGGTTCGCCCTGCTCCTTCCCCTTCCTGTTCCCAGCTTCCAAACGTCTTAGGGTTTCGGAGTCAGGGCAAGGTTAGCTCGGGATGAGACTTGGGCAGCTTTGGGGGCTGCCTCCTTCGATGCAGGTACAGAGGTGGTTGAGCCCGTTCCAGCAGACCACCTTTTTTGAGGCTTTCTCCTTGGACTCTGCCCTTTCTTCCGGGGGGGGGTGGGGGTGGATGTGGGTTCTGCCCCGGAGCCTGTGTCAGGGTTCCCGGGGCATGGGGGGGAGTTGGCTTGGGGCTCTTGGGCTCCATTTGACCATGTCTGGGCTTTGGTGCCTTTGGGGTGTGTGTGGTTGTTGCAAGGTTTGGGGTTTTTGTATCCCCCCTTCCATGTATGCATTTGATTTGGGGGGTGACACCCCACCCCCCACCTAGCTTCATGTCCAGGTTCCTTTGGGTTCTTCAGATTCGTCTATCCAGAGGTTTTCTGCCTCTCGGATTTCCCCTGCAGATGTTCGGGAGGCTCTTGGTGCCTACCTCCTGCATGACCCAGAATTCACCTCTATTATGGACCCGGTCTCTTTTGAGTTCAGTTCCTCTTCCCTATACTGGGTACGTTACAAGGTTCCTGGGTCTTCCTGGCTTGCAGACTGCCCTCTCTTTGTTCTGGGGGCTTAGCATGGGTTTTGTTGTTCCTGCATGCTTGAGTGGCGTGAGGTTTCCTCAGTGTTACAGGTTTTCCTGGAGGGACTCTCTTGAGATCCTCAATGAGTGCCTTTATGCCCCAGTGCTTTCTTGTGAGGTTGGGCTGCAGCAGTTGCATGCCCAGGTCCCTGTGCTCTCTGCTGCCTTGGTTGCTGCCTTGGTTGGTTGCTTGGTTCACCTACCTTTCTGGGTGATACCCCCAGTCAATGGCAGACATGACTATACTCTCAAATAGTGGAGTGTTTCATAAGCCATTGCTCCCTATGCCTCCGTGAGAGAACTAGGTTCTGGCTCATGGTTCCTGGTAGGCAAAGGACTTCAGTAACTGGTGCGCTAGACTAACATGACAGATATCAGTTTGATAATTCAGGGAGCCTCCGGGGCTCAACTCAGAAAATGGCATTTCATTACATTCAACGCTGGATTTTTTTTTAAGAGTGTGCACTGTGTAAAATGTTGCATGAACACCGAGCTGCAGTTTTGAATTATTAAGTTATAGTTTTCAGATTATGTTTTGCTTATACAATATACTGTACAGTTGTTTTTTCTTTTAATTTTATGTTGCATGGCTTTTAGTGTCATCAGAGGGTAAACGTAATTCGTAAGAATAATAAATTACTGCATCAGTTATGTGACGAAATTGGCATGCTCGAAAGGGTGCAACTTTTATTTTGTGAACTGTTATTGTTCTTCCTTTACAGAGAACTTAACATGGTTAAGGTAATTTACCATTAATGTGTGTGTGAGTGGCTTTGCAAGATACATGTGCTTTCATGACCCATTATAGAAAAAATGCAAATACAATTGTAATTGTATTTGCAAATCCTAAGAAAGTTGTACAGGTGTTTTAAGAATTTTGTGCTGAATAGATTATAATTAAATATTAGTGTCGGTTATCTTGCAGGTAAACCAGCAGGAAACAAGGAATTTGAAAATAATAATGCATGGCCTCATTATAGTTCAGGACTTAGGAATGAAGATTTGCACATAAACTCCCCAAAACTGTGCTCAACTGCATGATGATTAGTGTAGTTGGCTTATAGCGAAGTGACCTCAGATTTGATTCTCAGGCAGGATGAGAAATTTGGGCATGTTTTATTACATTTGATGACTCTGTTCAACTACAAGTAAATAGGTACCAAGGAAGAAGGCAGCTGTTGTGGATGTGCCTGGGAAAAGTTAGTTGTTATCCTAGGGGGACCTCAGCAAGCCTAACAAGCTGTGTGTTTTCAATACTGGGAAAACCATGGTGTTCGGCTTCACTAGTATTAATGGAGACTTGCAATGTAATAGTGATTAGGGGATTAGGATTGAAGTGTATGGGTGATCATAGATTGAATATAACTAAAATATTAGCTATTCATTCATTACTAGGTTGGTTCATTCATTACTAGGGGGGAGCCGGTTGGCCGAGCGGACAGCACACTGGACTTGTGATCCTGTGGTCCTGGGTTTGATCCCAGGCGCCGGCGAGAAACAATGGCCAAAGTTTCTTTCACCCTATGCCCCTGTTACCTAGCAGTAAAATAGGTACCTGGATGTTAGTCAGCTGTCACAGGCTGCTTCCTGGGGGTGGAGGACTGGTCGAGGACCGGGCCGCGGGGACACTAAAGCCCCGAAATCATCTCAAGATAACCTCAAGAAGATACTAAAGTAATGACAAAATATGGAAAGGGAAAATATTTAATGGAGAGCATAGAAATTGGAGAAGACTTAATTTTTTATTTAGGTCATTGATAAAGCATTTAGCTTTAGATTGGACTTTTGCTGTGTGCAAATAATGGAAGCTAGCATTATCCTAAATTATGTGAAAAGTTGTTGATAATACTAATATGAATATTGTAATGGATGGCCAGTCAAATTGAAGATGGCTTCTTTTTCATGAACCAAATTTAAAATTGTAGGAACAATACCTCTGTCATGCTTGGTTTGCAGAAACAATTTAAACTCCTGATATTGTTCCTGTGGCTTAGGCTCTCAGCCATATGGAATATATGGCTGCGAGATTGTTCCTGTGTTGAGTAAATTCCTGTTCTGTACATAGTCACTCTGGTTCTGCACCTGTTTGTCCAACCTGTCCTCCTACAAAGAATGTAGCTTTTCGCTCGTATTTGTTACATAAGGCCACAAATTGTCGTACTAGAAAAAGGAAGCGGCTTGCGAAAGTGACATACAGTACTGTCCTCAATCACCTCAATTGACAGTAGGTGACAAATCACCTCGAGTGATCCTCAATTACCTGCAAATATACAAATACTGTACCTGCTGACTAACCACTGTGATCTGAGGCTTTGTAATTTTATAAATAAAGGAGTAGTAGTAATAGTATTTATACTTAGTTTGACATACAGTGATATAAAGACACACAACCTCCTGCAGTAAAGTGGAAGGAGACATATCGGAAGCTTATCTCTTCTTAAATTCTCTCCAACTTCTGGCTAAATGCTATCCCCCACCATTAAAGTGATGATAAGTGTTGATTTACAAGAAATATATATAGTACCACTTTTGAAAAACTTGAACACTGTAAACTTCAGGTAAACACGGAATACTTACAATAGGAACATGTGCTTCCATTTATTTCAAAGCACTTATAGTAAGCATTTGTTTGTACATAGCATACAACTTAAATTTGTGAATGTGTCACTATTTTATAAATTGTTTCTCTTTGCCAAGTATTCTGAGGCTTGTCAGTTCACCCATTTAATTTCTTGACTATTTGACTTCTTCACTCATTTGCATTTCTGATGAAAACATTTAATTTTAGCTCATCACTGTACATATATGTTTGCTATCATAGTGCTCCTTCATTTTCTTATACACAATACTCCTATAGCATCCTTAAGTTTCCCTTATGGAGAGATAATGAGTCACAATAATGTGGCTGAAGAGTTGACAGTCATCCCACAAACCTGAAAAGGAAAAATCAATTATACGACTTGATAATGGTCTTGGATGGACCAATATGTCATTGGTTCTTCATTTTCAGATTTATGGGTTTGGTGTCAGCTTTTCATTATGGGCTTTTCATACTGTATTTCTTCATTAAATAATTGCTGTTTTCAAGCATTTATCTATTCCTTGCTTTCTAATTCCTTTTATTGTAGCTTGTCACTTTTGATTGTTGTTGCAACACAACACCCTCTTGTGTTATCATTTTATAATGTTTCACAACATGCTTGCAAGGTTACTCCTCAAACCATTGTAGAACTGCACATGTCTTTTTGCAAATATAGTTGGCCTTTGATCTGCGTATGCTGGATTTTGCTTTGCGGGAAATCCTTGTGCTGAGTAAATTTGTACATTTCAGGGTTGGATACACTGGAGAAGTTATAGATTCTTTCCGGACATCTAACAGAAACTATTGTCTGGAATATTGTCCTAGATGTCCGGAATCTGCTAGATTCCAGACATCTAGCAGAAAATATAACAACCCACACCAGTCACCAAACTCAAATGTTTGGTGACTGGTGTAGATTAGGAGCACTGGTGAACCTAACAGGCTTCCCGTCTTTGGCAATGGGAAACAATTACTGTAGTTATTGCACTTCTCAGCCACACATGCCTCACTACTAACAAAATGTTATTCATCAATGATATTCAGTTGATGATGCATGGGGTTCGGACACACTTGTTTGGACTGGGCCACCCCACACCGTCACATGTGGGATGACTCTGTGGGGTGGCCCCACAAGTGACGGTGTGGGGGTACCAACAGGAAAAGAGCACATTTACAGGGAGACCCACGACACCAAAACAACAATTCCCAAACTATGAACTACTGCACTGTCAAAATGTGTATTGTACAGTACAGTGAATTGAACCTCATTCTCTTATAACTTTACCAATTCACATTCTTTAATTTTGCACAGATCAAGGGCTGGCTGTATGTTGAAATGTATAACAGTAATATGTTACATAGTTGATCCATGCACAGTACAATATTTGTAAATTATTCTGCTATTATCCCAATGATGACTAAATGAATAGCTTTGCAAGTTATAGATGTTAAATTATTTTGTTAATGAGATGATGCCCAAATGTTTGTAATAAGAAGCAATTTTGAATCAGCTTATAAAATGATAAGTTGAATGTTAATTTATATATTTTCAGACTCGTGCTTCAGACGAGGAGAGTCGCTACGAACAAGCTTGCGGAGCCAAGAGGAATTTGAACCACAAAGCCTAAGGAGCCTACCACTCTCAGACAGTGCATTCTCTCATGGGGATCCTCAAAGGAAGGGTGTTCACAAAAGAGAGTCTTCAAGAAGTAGCGAGAGAAGAAAGCTAAGGTAAGAAATTATTATGCAAGAAAATATTAAATCTCCTCAAAGTCCAGTTGGTACTGCATGTACCTGAGGAGTTCTGGGACACAGGTTTGAGCCAGTTGTACGGCAGTAATATGTCCCATTCTGGTTCTGAACCTCACTATTTGTGCAATATTTTTGGGAATGTTAATCTGTTTTTTAACCTCAATTATCACCCCTTTTGTTTCCGCCTTGCCTCTTGTTGGGTGTGTAATCCTTTGACCCCTTTCACATGCATATGAAAAGTGATAGAGGTGGTCTGCTATCCTTCTTAAGACTCCTTTCAACTTATGACACTGTTGTGTGGTTGTGCAACTCTATACGAGTGTCAGTTTCTGGCATTTGCTAATGTGGTATATGCTCTGTTGACTCCTGTTATATGAGGATGTGATGGAAATTTTGGACCTTGATACAGTACTTGTAAGTTTCATTGTGAGTTTTGGAAATGTGAGGCTCTTTCTTATATATGGTTTGGGACATTTACTTGGTGGGTTAGTTCAGCATCTAGCTTTCTAATCTCCCCTGTTAGTTATAAAGTTTCTGTAGATTGAACAGAACAGTTGCCACAAGCTCTCTCTCATATCTCTCTCAGCTCAGTAATTTTGATTTAACTTATGACACATTTCCACATGCTGAATCGTCTTCATGAACCAGCACCTAGTTCTTAGGCTCCAGCTCACTTTTTTCTTTATGTCTCATGGTGCTGGTTTAGGTAAGTTCCCTGATTTTGTATGAGTGCCATAGTATGTTGTTTTCCCCGAGCCAACTTCTCCATGAGAAGTTGACTTGGGGAGCATCCGAGGGAGGCTCTGTGCAGAAATATGGTACTGAATAACATGGAACGCTCCTTTTTGAGTGGCCACTTAGTTGCTCCCCATTCTCACCCTTTGTCTCAATATCCTGAGAATGTTAGGATGTCCTGTGTTTTAAGGGGGGTGGGGGGGGGAGGAGTGGACTGCCAACATCTCCAATCCTGTTATCTAGCTAGTGCTGCCAGTTGGTAGTAGTCAAGTGGTGGGTAGTTCCCAGTTATCATTTAAAGTTGGGGTGAGGGGCTTATATCTGTTAATGTGCATTATAGTCAGTATTGTTTTATTTGTGAAGTGAAATTACTCTCTACTTTCTCCTCTCTCTCCAAATAAGTGATAAGACCGTTTGAAAAGGGATGCATAAATAAGACTGGGTTCTGCAGGTCATGTACTGTATTTATAAACAAAATTATGACTTCCATTTTCCAATGTTTTTCAGTGAAAGTTCTGTGAACCTTCCTCAAGGATTTTGCAAGAAATATATAGTAAACAGAATATATGGCCAACACACAGCCCACACTGTTCATGTTGTGTACTGTTAATTTTGTTGAGACCACAAAATAAACTTTAACATTTATAGGCCTAGTATAACACATTTATATGCACCATATTAAGCCTAAGATATCATATATTAGGCCTAGGATTGTTTGGACCGGTTAGGTTAAATTCTTCGGTTTCTCTTCCATTTTTGTAGTATGGTACTGTATGCCATTTGGGCTAATTCAGTAATACAAAATGTAAACTTTTTGGGGTCCAACATTGTAGTCAGTGTTCATAGGCCAGCTTAATAGAAATAACTAATTCATAAGCTTATTTGGCATTTTTCATATTAGTAATTTTTCTCTGCTTTCCAGGGAGCCAGCAAGAATGGAAAGAGGCAAATCGCCTAGGAATAGCCTGAGGAAAAGACACAATGACAGGGCAAGCATCTTGGGCGGAGGAGCTGAAGTTAAGGATGCCGTGCCTCACATTGACGAAGGAGAGTCGGCATCATCATTACTCGGGAAAGGTCATGAACTGTAAGAGAGCTCCTTTTGTATACTGTATATTGTCATATTAGAATTATATACCTGTCCATATCCATTTTGCATCTTGAACTTAAAATACATTAACCCTTGCATTGCTTAAATGTTATACAGGTATAAGGCACTAGCTATACATGTACAGAAAAATTATTTTCAAAACAATGTTTTTGTTTTCCTATATTCTTAAAAACCATGTCCCGAGCAAAGGAACAACGTCCAAAAAGTTGTAAGTCACTCTTCAAGATGGCAGATGTTTACTGGAGGCTCCAAATACCGATTGGGAACACCTTATACATGGGAGTTTTAAATGCTGCAAAGTACCTAAAACATTATAGGATGTGATGTGCCACATCATTGGTGCACATTACATCGTTATGATGTAATGTGCAGTGCAAGGGTTCAGTGATGGAAATGCCTTCTTCAAACATTATGAATACTCAACTTATTAACAGATTCATGCTTGAATTAACTATTGCTTTTAAATTTTTTAAATCAGAAAAGCCAATAGATGTCTGAATATTTTTCTCATATATCCAACTTGTCATGTTTTTTAATTAATTTCATGGCTATTTTATTTTGTCTAGGTTTGGCAGTCATCGCAACAGCATTGTGAGCTGTGGATCTACTTCCCCTAGAAAGCTCCATTCACTCTTTGACGAACAAATTCAAAGTTCCAGAAACCAAATCAGTATGCTAGAAGAGGTTAAGAAGCTTCAAGTATGTTGATTATCATTTTATGTATATTGTTATCTTGGAATGCTTAGTGTTACATATGCAGACGCTCTTGATTTTCCAAACTTCAATTAGCTAAACTGCCAGATTGGCAGAACCAAAACAGCTCTTGATTTTGGTTTACCGCAAAAACAACACATTTCAGGTAAAAAAATCTATGCCTAAGCAGCAGTAATTCAAATACCTATACTGTACTGTTATGTTTTGGTATATGTTGAGAGGATGATGAGGCAATTCAACTTATTGTAAATGCAAGTGAAAGCAGTACAGTATAGTACACTGTATACAGAAACATAAGTTTTATCATTTGTGCAAATACAAAAGATAATGAACAGTTCAGTACTATTACACTAACTTTTGCATATTGTCTAATGAAACGACATAAATTACAAACTGAGTCTGTTCCCAATTGGTTCAGTAAATTCTAAGTTAACTGTTCTAATTATTATTGTAATTTCATTAATGAATTATGATTGTAGTTTTGCTGTATTCTTTTTTCAGATTGAGCTGGAAACAATTAAAAAGAATCTTGTAGAAGCTGGGGACAAATATGAATTTATTGTGCGAAAATATGAAGTCTATAAGATTAAAAGCAAAAATAAAGTTTATTCAGTCAAGTAAGTTCAGTTGACAATTTAGTTTTAACCATTGTTTATGACATTAAATTTTTTTTTATTTATTTCATATGTTCTTTCCATCTTAACCAGCAGTGTTTTTCTGAAATAAAAATTTAAAAATTCAGTGGAATTCTATATTTCTGAGCTAGGCCACTATTTTCCTTCCTTAACCAATATCTTGCTCTACCCAAGACAAGATCAGTCACAACCAAGTAACTGGGGAAGGGAAACAATAGAGATTACACTATCTAAACATCTTTCTGCTAGGTACTAGTTGGTCTATCTGATCACTACCCTCAGCACCATAATGTTGACAGATACTTAGGAAGCCACCATTCTCATTTGACCCCCAGCACACCCCAAAGTTAACCGCCCATTTCCTGTGAGTGTTCACACCCTCACTGAAATGTGTATACTCTCTTCAGTTTTCTCGCCTCAATTTTTGTGCTACGTCGTTCATTTTGGTATCAAATTGTCCGCAATAGAATTCTTTAAGGGATATATGAGAAGTATTCAAGAATTATAAAAGTATTGTCCTTCCGTCGAAATAGAGTTTTACTGAAGCTATCTTCAGTAAAACTACTGGCAGTTTACCCCTTTGCTTGTAGCTGAAGATCTTTTTGTGCACCACGCTGCAATCTGAGAGTACCACAGGTGTATACACCCTGTTCAATAAATTTTTCACTAAGTTGAACCGAGTTACAGTAGTCATCCATATATATAAATGGTAACCTTTGTTCTTCAGTGGTTCAATCAAGCCCATAACCTTTTGATTTGTTGTCTTCCAAATTCCTGCATACACTTCAAACTCATAGATGTAACCAGTATGCAATTCAGCCAGCATGTGCAGCTTTACTCCATACTAATCAGGTTTATTTGGATTATAAACCTTGAAAGCTAGTCAGCCCCTCCGTGATTGTGCCTTCATCCAAACACAGATTTTTCTGAGGTACTATTTTACATTTATTTGTTAGATATTCCATGACTGTTCTAACTTTTATTAGTCTGTCTTGATTGTCTTTGGGAATGGCATTATTGTTATGAGTATGAAAATACTTTGCAATCATTACATATCGTTTCACAGTCATAAAATTATTGAAGAAGGTACATGCCACAATCTACGTGTTTGCCAGTACATTCTCATCGTTGGCATCTTTACAAGGCCCATCAACATTGTCAGTCCCAAATATCTGGCAAGCTCTTTTTATAGAAAAGGGGAAGAGGGTGGCACATATTTTAAAACACGTCCCATAATGATTGGTAATAAAATGGAATTTTAAAAAATATTTAAATTTTGAACGCAATGTGCGTCCCCACCCAAGATCAGTAGATTTATTATCCCACCCAGACAAAGTTTTAAGTAACTATTGTTCATCCTTAAAATTTTATTTCATGTAAGGAGGGGTCTTTGCCTTCTGTTGCTTTATTCATTTCCAATATATAAATTTATTTTGTTGGATCCTAAGTCTTTTGAATGATTCTAAATCTTTCACCAATATGCACATTTTCTATGCATTAGTTGGTTAGGTTAGGTGGGTGATTTGGGTTCACCTATTTTAGTAAACCAGTACTAAAGCCCAAACCCAGTACTTGGTTCATTGTGGCAACTCGAGAGAATGAGCTGGCTTGGTCACTTTCCCTCCTTTGTACATCTGTGTGCTGGATGCAATGGAAGGAGTCTGTTCCAGTTGTATGATAGTTATGGTCACTTACAATGGGATATTCCAGATGATTTCTGGTGGAGCAGTTCGAGCATTTTGTTGGACAAGAATATTGATATCGAGAAATGTAAAGTAAAATCAACAAAATTTTTGACAATTTGCTTCTTCAATTGACATGGGTACCAAAATGTGTGCTAAAGTATGCTCTATAATTTTATAGTAATAAAAAGTAAATTTATCATCAAACTTGGTAGCAGCAGAGGAGTCCAGTATGAGTCTGTTGGTTTGAATAAGAGTATGGGCACTGTATAGTGTACCGTACTGTACACTATATAATGACATTACAGTATTTACACACTAATTATATTTGTGTAATTCTCTAGTGATGGCATGTTGATGCACACATGTACTGTACTTACTTTCTGCCTTGCTACAAAGTATGTATAGTAATTAATTATTCTTAAAGTGATATTGTATTGTGAAGTGGTTTGTTATTGAAATTTTGATGATCCAGTGACTGATATTTTAGTATTTCTAAGTTTATAGTATTTATTTTCCCATTGTCACATTTTATGATAGTGTAAGCCATTTCTTGTATTACATGATTACCATTACAGGCATTCCTCGATTTGCACAGTTTTGGAGAATATCGATTTGGTGCTACATGGGTAAGAAATTTTATACCGTGTTTTGAATTGCACGGGTGATTTTTGATGGTACACTTGTTGCGCACAAATTAACAAGGATTAGTGTGTATAATCAATGCTAATCCATGGGTGTACCATGGGATTTGCAGTATAGTGGCCTCATACACATACTATGTTCATGTTTTACAAAGTTTTCTGTGGGGAGCCCTGTTGGCTCCCTGGAGCTATCTGACTGATATGCGATATATTAGTCTGGAGCATCAATCAGTTGGAGTTCAGCCTACCGGTGACCACGAGCCAGAACCTGGGCCCCCCTCAGAGAGGCACAGGAAGCAATGGCCTATGGAAACCCCCCATGTGGTTGGGGGCATTCCATGTCTGCCATCAACCAGGGTTAGGCACCCAGAAAGGTAGGCATAACAAAACAAACCCCACTTGGTAAGAAAATTGCTTCGAAATTGTAACTGAAGACAGAACAGAGACAGAACTTCCTCCAACACCCAAGAAAATAAGCAAACATCATACACCGCTGCCACGTTGCTTGTCTGCATAGTCCTTCCCTCTCCACAAGGGAGAGGGGAAGCCCCAGACCCCCCGCACGCTGGCTACTCACCCACCCAGTTCATTGGCTGATTTGATCTGGGGCGGTCATCGACTTTGGCCTCGATTTCTTGGCAGTGTTTTGCCTTAGTGGTGTTCTCTGCTGTTTGGTGTGTGGTGGCCAGGTGTAACATCAGTGTACTGGGGCTGCATGTGCTTAGGGCTACTTTCCCTAAGCACCCTGTAAGTACTACCCTTTGGTGCTAGGGTTACTTTCCATAGTGTGTTCGGGACTCTACTTCCGAAGGGGTTCTTGCTGCCCGGCATTTACCCCACCTTTGGGGCCAGCTGGGGTTTCATGGCCTTTGTTTGGCATTGGGTAGAAAGTGGTTTTTGTTGCTGGTAAAACAACAAAAGCTGTGCAAGGTGCTGCACAGCTTGTCTACAGATGCAGCGGCCATGTTCCTGTTCCTTCTGGTGACGTTGTTCTTTTGCTGGGTTTTTCTTTTCTTTTTGTGGGGAGCCCCTGCCTACCGGGGACCACAAGCTAGATTCTGGCCCCCTCAGAAATACGAGGAGCAATGGCCTATGGAAACCCCCATGTGTATGGAAGCATTCCATGTCTGCCATCGACAGGGGTTTGGCACCCAGAAAGGTAGGCATAACAAAACAAACCCCCACATGGTAAAAATTGCTACCTAAAACTGAACAGGGAGGTAGAACTCCCAAACTAAAACAAGCAAATGTCACTAATGCTGTTACGCTGATCGTCAGCACAGACCCTCCCCCCCCCCCTCCCTCAAGAAGGGGGAGGGGGGCCCTAGATCTGCCCCTACCACTGCCTCTGTGGCATGGGACATGTTTTGGGTTGACCCAGTTTCCCTTCTTCCCTGTTCCAGGGTGCGGGTCTCCCAGGTCGTCCGCAGAGTTATTCGATCCAGCAAGCCTGCGGTCTGTTCCTGTGCCAACTACATTTGTAAGTTTGTGGCTCTGCTGTTTTGGGAAATGTGTCCTGGGCTAACATTTGGGCATGGGGCTTTTGGATGTTGAACAGGGTCCTGGCTGCACGGTACCTCATTCATGTTAGGGGCATGTGTAGCCTTGGGTTGCAGGTTGCAGGCAGTTTTCTCGACTGCAGTTGAGGAGCGAGTGGGGGCCACCTCCCGAGCAAGTCCCTCTTTTCCTTTATCTTTGGTTAAGTAGCTCCGGGGAGCCGTAGGGGCTCTCCAAAGAAAACTAGCATTGAATGTAATGAAACGCCATTTTCTGGGTGAAACCCGGAGGCTCCCTGGCATCCCTACCTCCCTCCGGTCGGCAGTTTTTTGAGTTTTTGATATTCAGCCTCTAAACTGAGGTTGGGTAGCCAGTGCAGGAGGTCTGGGACCCTCCTTCCCCTTCCCGGGGAGGGGGGAGTTGAGCTGACAGCGGCTCAACGGCTATGGTTGTAACATCGTAAAGGTGTTTTGTATTTAAAACATACATAGTACAGGAGTCACAGACAAGATTTCGAGAGGCGCTAGATTGGCGGCCCCTAGTAATTAAGAAAATCACACCTCTAAGTGTTAATGACCACTAAGTGACCAAGGTCAAGTCGCATGAAGTTGACCTGGTTTCTGCTAAGCTCATAATTGCAGGCGGCTAACTGGGGGTGACCTTCAAACGTGCCGCCAATTTAAGGTGTGGCTTGGTAGAGTGCCTGGGGCCATCTACTTGTGGGTGGAGTTAGCTAGTTGGTCCCCAATATATACCCAGGGTACTGTACACTCGAGACAGACAGATAGAGAGACAGGAGAACAGCCAGCAGAACAGAGCAAAGGACAGCATAGCCGGGAGGCTGTCAGCCGGACGGGGTGGGACAGTCTCTGTCAACTATAGTCGTCGTTGTCCCCCCCCCCCTCCCCCCCTGCAGGAAGAGGCTGCAGGAAGGACTCTGGGTGGTGGAACTCTAGATTAGCTAACGGGGGGGGGGGTATAATGAACAAAAGAGAGCCATTAACCCCACCCCCCGTTACATGGTGACATCATGCTTGTTTGCTTATTTTCTGATTGGGGAGTTCTGCTTGCTTGTTCGGCTTTTGGTTTGCAATGTTTAACCAGCTGTAGTTTGTTTTGGGATTCCTACCTTTCTGGGTGCCTGACCTGGTAGATGACAGACATAGACTGCTTCCAACTACATGGGGGTGGCTATAGGCCATTGCTCCTCGTACCTCTCTGAGGGGGCCAGGTTATGGCTCGTGGTCCCTGGTAGGCTAAGAACTCCATCGATTGACTGCTGCCACAATCTAATATGTACACATCAGCCCGGTATAGCTCCGAGTCTCACCCAGAAAATGGCGTTTCATTATATTCAACGTTGGTTTTTTTTGTCCTCAAGAATATGCCAAGGAGAATACTGGTTTTTCAGAAAATCCATCTATTCTTTTGGCTTGAGCCTGAGGTCTGTGAATAACACATTGTCCATTGATATAGTAATACTTGTCACAGTGCCATATTTGTTTCTCAAGAAATGTGTTATTACAGTAGTTTAGTATTGATGAATTCACACATTTATCTTGACTTATGATCTCACCGACATTTGCTAATGAATTTTTCTGTATATACAGTACTGGATATCAAATTCATATTGGTACTCTGATGACCAAACTGAGACAAGTTGGTTTTGTTATGTGTGCGTATTCCTTTGTGCAAATGAATGTGCATGTAAAAACCCAGTGTGAATGAATCCACTTTTGCTTGTCATTCTGCATGTCAGCTCATCTGCCTCTGTCCATTTCTCCTCCCTATCCTCTCCCCCCTCTGCTCACTCAGCCTTCCATATCTCTCTCTCTCTCTCTCTCTTTCCCCCCCCCCCTTCTTCCTCTGCTCATTCAACCTTCCATCTCTCTCCCCTCCTCCCACTCTGCTCACTCAACCTTCCATTTCTCTTTCGTACCCTCCACTCACTCAACTTGTAGGATAGTGTGTTCGTTATGCTTATAGGAACACAAAGTCTGGATCAAAATATGTCCTATTAAGTTCCATGTCAGATAAGCTATACAATTGATTTTTAAGATTTAATTGGATAATTTGAATGGTATAAGTGCCATATAATTGTTCTTGTGCATTGCTGTCTACTGAATTCTTCTGTTCATTCAGTGATATTTTGAACTACATTTCAGTTTAACAGGGCATTTTATTGTAGTTTTTATTGATATGAAGTTGCAGTGTTTCTGTTAGTGTTTGTGTGTAGATATGCAGCATCCATTCTTCTGAATAAACATTAGTCTTATTCTTATACAGTATTATATTATATTATTATATCCCAGTATTGATGCAGCATTTAAAGATGTTGATTCCTCTTTCTGTATCAATGTCAGTCAGTTCACAACCAAAAATATATCGGGTTCAATTTCCAGGGCAGAGCAGAAACGTTTGGGCATGTTTCCTTTCACCTAATGCCTCTATTCACCTAACACTAAATAGTTACTGGGGGATTGAGGCAACTGTTGTGGGTTGCATCCTAGGAAAGGTCGGTTGTTGGCCTAGGGAGACATGATAAGCCTCACAGGTTTCCTGTCCCTGACAATGGTAAATCATTTCCTCATTTTATTATCAGTCAGAACTTGAATTTTATTTGTTGTATTTTTCTAGATCCGTTTATCAGTCAGAGCTCGACACCTTGAAGCGAAGGATTGGCCAGCTAGAAGCAGAAGTGGCCCTCCAGGGAGACCAACTTCAGGCCGAAGAGTCCTTGAGACGGCAGCTGGAACAAGATTTATCGAGCATTAGAACAGATCGTCAGGAGTTGGCAATGAGGTATGATGAATGAAGTTTTACATAGTGTAGTTAGCATTGTATTATTATTGACACAGTGGGTTTTGCCAGGGTATAAGATCATTCATATTAATTGCCAATTTACTTGTTTTATATTTGAGTAGTATTTTGAATACGACAGTATTTGTTCACATAAGTATGATTGCATTGTTGCATAAGTTAACCTCTTCTGGACATAATGTCAAAAAATGGAAGACTGTACTGTAATATAATTAAAATTTCTTGCTAAATGTGTCATCAGTTTTTTTTGGTCTGCATAAAAGCATGCCGTTTGCCAAAATATTTTTCAAGGGTCATTATTAGAACGTACTCTTTGGTTAAATTTGTTTAACTGGTTTTCTTAAAACTGCTGTGAAATTAAAATGTTTGTGTCACTGTAGGCCTCACTCTGCAAGTGGAGTTAAAAATTAGCAGATAAGCAGGCAATGAGTCACAATAACGTGGCTAAAGTATGTTGACCAGACCACACACTAGAAGGTGAAGGGACGACGACATTTTGGTCCGTCCTGGACCATTTTCAAGTCGATTGAGAATGGCAATCGACTTGAGAATGGTCCAGGACGAACCGAAATATTGTCGTCCCTTCACCTTCTAGTATGTGGTCTGGTCAACTTAGCAGATAAGAAACATTAAACACCAAATTCAGCTATTTACTGTTAGGTTTATGTAATAAGTAGTCCTAGTTCCTGATTCATTTTGTTTACATCTAATGTCTCTGAGCTAAATTTATCTGACTGTGCATGCATGACCTGACCTATATGTGCTTACAAGTAGGGAGGATTAGGTGTTTAGGCCTGCCCTTTCAACTTTGGGTATCTGGTGCAAATTATGCTACATTTTCCCTGTCCTAGTTATATAAATTGTTATAGTTTTGGATTTAATTAGCTCTAACTACCTCCTTACATCCCTGTGTCTTATTTGTTTCCAGTGTGGACAACTTTGCCCTAGCTAGGGCTCAGTAAGCCTTATGGGCTTGTTTCCCAGAATGATATATCATACTATAACATACATGGAAAAGTATATATAAATAATGTGTTTATTTTATTATAGAGTTTGAAAATAATGAGTTACAATAATGTGGCTGAAGATATGATGACAAAACACCACCTCAGAAGATGAAGAGACGACGTTTTTGTCCGTTCTGGACCATTGTCAAGTATGTGAGTGGCTCATGTGAGCCACTCAACTTGCTCTCACACACAACAACTTGATAATGGTCCAGGACGGACTGAAATGTCGTCGTTTCTTCATCTTCCAAGGTGTGGTTTAGTCATCACAGTTTAATTTTGGATCTCTTTATTGTTTGTCATTGCATCTGATTAATATTTTAAGCTATAAATAATTCAACTTGTTGCAGAGTGCGTGAAAGTGAGAGAATAGCCCAAGACCGCAGCCAGGAAGTTAAGCTACTTGAAGAGAAAGTAAGACTTATCCAGGGTATGAACCAAGAGCTCAGTGAGAAGCTTCAGGAACTCAGTGTAGCAGCTATTGTTGGGTAGAACCATATTGTCTTGTAGGATGATAAAATAATATTGTATTGAAAGTGAATTTTATAATTAGCCTGACAACATTTTCATCCATTTTAAAATCATAATCAATTTGTTTATATTCTGTTATTAATTTGAATATTTAATGATATTTTCATTTTTTTAATTTGATATTTTTCTCCACACTGCTAATGGTTTTTCTGGGGGTGTATCGTATTTTTTTCAGCACACAGTATTAAACACGCCTAATTTACAAGGTTATTTTGTGGAAAAGCTATTTTAGTATGTTTCATCATACATTTTTTTTAAAGTGATTTTCAAGTGGTTGTGTAGACGAACTGCAGTCTCTTATTATCTAATAGCTGTGGGTAACATAGCAACTGTAAGGATAAAGGGGGAAAACTATAAATTGGTCAATAATTAACAAAGTTGTTTTGTGGTTTTAGAGGTTGTTGGGAAGAGAAATTTGCATTGAGACAACATTAAGGTAACTAGTTTGTCTAGGTGAGACCTTGATAAGCTTAACAGGCTTCTTTTACCTTACTATGGGAAACTATTATTGTGACTCACAATAGATATACTGAATTTGAAAATAACTCAGGGGTTAACACCCAACCAATTGGCTTACAACCAATTGGACCCATGTTTGTTGCCTCAGGCAGGACGAAATGTTTAATTGGCACATTTCCATACACCTGATGCCCGAGTTAATCTCGCAGTGTATAAGGTACCCAGGAGTTAGACAACTATTGTGGGACCCTGCCTAAGTATTGTAAGATGAAACCCACAATAGGATTGTGGGTCGCAGGTTCCCCGCCCCCCCTTCCCCTTCCCCTTTGGTCAGCATTTGACCAAGGAGGACCCAGACTAACAGGCTTCTGTGCCAGGCAATGGAAAACCATATAATTCTGTCTTGATCAAAGTAAGAAGTAATTCATTATAATAAAGTTGAATAGTTTAAGCATTTGTAGTATGCCAGGTTTCTTAAATTGTGAGGTCAAGGAATATCAGCGCTGATGATACCAACTTTATAATGCTGAATATCTACTATGATTTAGGAGATATTTGGGCTCCTAGCCCAAATTATACTTAAAAAAAAATGCATTTTCAATTAAGGAAGCAAGTGATATTTATGGAAGTAATTTAAGGAATATCTTAAAATATTTAAGGAAGTAAATGATATATGATATGTTTATATCATATATTTACCGTACTTTGTATTTAGTATGCATAGTACATTCGGTATACAGTTTTGTTTACATTGTACGGTGTGTATGGTATATCAGTAATGTGAGTGGTTCATGAATTACATACCTTACAATATAAAAAAAAAAAATTGTACACTACTTCTTGCATATTTAATGTACAGTATATTAAAATAATTTAAAAATGTATATTTTTTATAAATTATCAGAAAGCATAGATATCATTGTAATTATTAATGTGTTTTAATTTATGAATTTATTTTATTTATTTCATTGTATCATGTAAAAAACTTTATTCTGTCTTTGATGAATGAGATGTTGTCATACAAAGGAGGTTTCATTTTTGATGGTAAATAAAGCATTTTGTTACAAATTATTTTTTTTAACTCCAAAAGCCAACTCTGCTATAATACATTGGGGAAACGGTACAGTGGAACCTCGGTACTCAAACTTAATTGATTCCAGAAGTCTGTTAAAGTACTAAATAAATTTTCCCATAAGAAATACTGTAATATAAATTGGATTAATTCATTCCAGACCACAAAAAATACTCATATCGATACATTAAATAATAAAATAAGTGCAAATATATTCTCACTTTACCTGTACCTTCACTTTAGCCTGGTTGATCAGTCTGGCAACCAGGAGGCCTGGTCGACGACCGGGACGCTAAGCCCCGGAAGCACCTCAAGGTAACCTCAAGGTAAGGTACCTAGGAGAGTGGATGGCACATGTGGACAGTGGTGAGGAAGAGGAGAGATGTTATTGTTTGGCACGCAAGTCCCCCTACCATAAAAACTTTAGGTAATTGTGCTTCTGGGGATCTTTTCCTTTTCTGTTTCCCTCGTAAGAGACGGGATGCTTTTCTTACGAAAAACTTGTCCAATTTAGGCATACCAAACTCGGTAGCAGGAGTAGACACATGGGCACCCCTTTCATATTTTGCCAAGTTCTTTTTTCATCTCTTGTGGTTCTAACTAAGTTTCTTTTCATTTGGCTCTTATCACTGACTTTCTTAGGTACCATGGTGCCTAAAATATTTGTCCTAAAAATATAAAAAAACATCCAAGAAAACACTAAGAAAATTTACACAGAAGTTTAGTGGGATATGCACTGAGCGACAGCTACTGGGAAACTGACTCATCCATTATGTGTTTGTTTGAGTGCTGTGCAAACGGCCGACTACCAAACATGAACACAGTGTTCGAATGCCGAATTGTTTGAGTTGGAAGCCGTTCGAGTACCGAGGTTCCTCTTTATTTACATACAGTAATTTATTTTTTAAAGTTTGGAGGTGTGGCTGGAAGATTTGCTTTTGAGTGCATTATTTAATCAATTAATCTTAAAGATTTTGAATTTACTATACCAATTTTCTCTCTACTATTTTGTATTACCAGTTTTATAAAATTAATCATACTTCATGTTCGGTCAAAATTTTGCAAGAAAATGTTCATGTCTTCAGTGACATGGACAGCTTTTGTATATGCCTAACAATAAAATGCTTGAAATAAAAACAATTTGGCCCAATTAAGAAATGATATTAATGACTTATTTATATTTCCTTTACCTAATCATTGAAGAGTACAAGAAGTGCTCTTAAAGCTTACAACCTTAAGCTTAACTACAATAAATAACAGTAAACAAAACTGTTCTTCACCGCATGTGCATTGTTATTCTATACTTCACGTCAGACTGGTTCATCACATTAGTCTGTGGATCCATTTACATCCTATTTCACAAACTATTTTCACTGCATAGAATCCAAAATCATTTTTAAAGCAACTTGTGTTGTCCTCTTCCTTAGCACTGCATTCATTTCGTCTGTAAAATTTGTATGTAGGTTTGACTTCATCTTGTTTTAATTAGGTATAGTATTTCTTTTTTTTGCTGCTCATTCTCTCAATGTGGTCAAGGTTTCTAAATACAGTACAAAGTTTACTGTATACAATTGACAGTAGAGCAAGAGGATATAATTGAAAATATTAAGAATTCAGAAGCTGAATGCTGTAGTACAGTTGACTATGTTCTCGGGTCATATTCAGAGATCCCGGGTTCAATCCCCAGTGGGACAAAATGTTTGGGCACATTTCCTTTCACTTAATTCATCTGTTCATGTAGCAGTAAAGAGATATCTAGGAGTTTGGCAACTATTGTGGTGGTACATCCTGGGAAGGGTCAGTAGTTCAACTATGGAAGGGAGGGGGGGGGGGGTTAGTAGGAATGGTATTTATATATTTTATAAAACCAATAATTATGCACAATGTTTCATATTATAATAAATACCATATTTAATTTTATATTTTTGGGGTAATAATATACTACATTAGGGGTAAACTAACACATAATCTGTTTTGCCAAACTTCTGGGTACCTATTTACTGCTAGGTGAACAGAGGCTTTAGGTGAAAGGAAACGTGCCCAAACATTTATAATACAGTATAATTGTTTAAAGGGAAACTTAATTTATTTTATTTATATGCAAGAAGGTACATTTGGGTGTGAAAGGGCATACAGTACATTGGTGATTGAATGACATTCTTGCAAAACCACTACAGTAACACACACACACACACACAGTGTTTCGGGCAGGTCCTTAAGCTAACTATAAAATTAATTATAGGAACATTGTATCGATTTGAGTTCAACATAACTACATTATAAATTAATATTGATAAAGTTGCACCTCTTAGGTACTAAATTGAGTGAGTGGATAGCAGAAGATACAGTGTGAGTTAAAAGCACAAGGTGAAGACTATGAAGATGAAATTAGGTACTTTTTGGTTTTACTTTTGAGTAAAGTATAGATTGGACAATTTTTAATTCATTTGGGAGTGAGTTCCATATGCTGAGTCCTTTTATTTGCATGGAGTGTTTGCACAAATTTAGTCTGACTCAAGGTATATCAGTGATTTATTTCTGGTAAGATGCTCATGGGTTCTATTACATTTATCAAAGAATAGTTTCAAATCAGGATTAGAATCAAGGAATAAGGTTTAGTATATGTAAATAACACACTAGAATGTGTGGAGTGAGTGTATGTTTAGCATGTTTAGGGATTTAAACAGAGGGGCTGTGTGTTGTCTGAAAACAGAGTTTGTTATAGTTTTGATAGCAGATTTTTGCTGGGTGATGATGGGCTTGCAGTTTGCAGTGGTTGAACCCCCATGTACAGATACTGTACATTAGACAGGGATAGATTAATGAGTAGTATAGTGTAAGAAGACCAGAGTGGGTAAAATAGGATCTAATTTTTGAGAGTATACCAACAGGTTTAGATACTCTTTTTGGTTATATGCTGTATAATAATAATAATAATTAATAATTTTTTATTTAGGTAAGGTACATACATAAAGAGATTTACAAAGTTTGTTGGCTTTATAGATAGAGCTAGTACATACAATGCCTAAAGCCACTATTACGCAAAGCGTTTCGGGCAGAAACTTTGTGAGTATGTGAGTATTGAAGTTTAGGCCAGGAAACTTTCCCACATTTTTAATATTAATGTTGACATTATCTAACTGAAAATGAATTTAGTTTGATGAATGGTGGAGCCTACTTTATTTTAGAATTTGTAGCTTGGTGATGACTATAATAGCAATATAGTTCTTATTATAATTTTACAGTTAATAACAGCAATAAACATAATTTAAATTGAATTGGATGAAGAGATATGTGAGATTTATACTACTTCATGAGGCAGATACAATATTATATAAATGGCAACATAATGCATAGTTATAAGTATTAATTTGTTTATCTTTAAAATTTATTAAAAATTGTTGTATAAGTATTTTGTTTATGGGTTAATTCAATTTAAGAAATCATGCAACACAGTGACCTGGGACACTCGCACATACATAAATATCTTATTTATGTACAGTAAATATGTATGTCTACCTAAATGAATTATTATCATTATTATTATTACAATTATTATAATAATAAGCACCACATACAAATTTTAATACATAGATAGGAACACATGAGTACTTCATTGCATTTTAGCTTAAAAAAAAACATTTAGTTAAAATGTGATAACCCTTGTAGCTGGAATTTTCTGTAAGTTACAGAGTTTGATAAACAGTATTTAATATACCGAACAGTGCAGTATGTAGGTATCACATATTTTTTTTATTAACAAGCTTAGGTATACACAGCAATGTGTTGCTAACCTACTATGTATGAAGGATTACACAGTGTAGATCAAAAACTAGCTACAAGATCATCTAATATTCCTATCTCACAGGATGGTTAGTAATACATGGAATCAGGGGAGAAAATACCAGCCTCAATACAAAAACAAATAAACTAACAAAAAATCAGATGAGAACATTAAATGTAAAACTGATCTATTAGCCTCCACTAGGTACAGCAAAATCTGGGTACAGCACAAGAATGTCTTCCAATATTCCTGAGTGTATGAAGTAATTACAGAGCTCAAAGTACTTCAAACCATTTAGTCTAAAAGTCACTTATAACAGAGCAATCACAGATATAGTGTTGGAGATTATGTCTCAGCTCTTGTTCACATGGTTTACAATTGATATCGTATACAGTCGTATAATATTGTATACATGTCGTATACAGAGCTCAACCCCCGCAAGCACAACTAGGTGAATACAACAATTGACCTAGGAAATGTAGATGTTTATCTCTCAGAATGTTGGTTAATATGTTTATTGTTTGTGATGTGTGTATATGTATGTATTAACACGATGTACTGAACGGGGTGAGAATAGCTTGAGCTACCTCATCCCTTTGTTTGTATTTTACCTCAATAAACTTATTTCAATATCAATTTCAACAATTGACCACAAAGTAATGTGGTTTTCTATAAAAATTTGTTTAAGATTTAATAATACTGAATTTACTACACTGAGAACAAAGCAGGAAGATTTACCAAGCTTCATTTATTACTTTCAATATAATTCCTACTAATCCCTGATTATATTAACCGTACTTTCCTAACAACGTCATAATTTATTTGAGTTGTGTCAAGTGAGGCCGCGGCGAGGTGCGCAACGCGCTGCGTCTCTCGCCAGCATCAAAACAACAACAATGGCTGCTGAGCAGGATGATGACCTTCTCGACAACTGGGAGGATATCGATGAAAACTCGGTAAATTCGTGAACGAGAGGGCGTTGAATCCGAGATAGATGCAACAAGGGTTGCAATATGCGCTAGTTGTCACGAATGTATCTGAAATCTCGCCAGCTGAGAGTGTCAGGCAGGGTTGTGTTTACACATCTGACACGGACGTAGCTTATTTTCTGGCAGGGAGACCCAACCCAGGATCTGCGGTCATTACCAGCACACAGGTTGTCATGCTCACCTCGTGTTCTCATCCTCCTGTGAGTCCCTTTGGCATGACATTAAGGCCCAGTTGCTTTTGAAACGAGAATAGAATTTTTAAAAGTCCTTGACAAGTGTAGTTGAATCCAAGGATCGCTTTAGGGGGGCCAGATGGTTGGGTAATATAGATATATATGTCCTTATGAAATCTTGTTACTGATGGTGAAAGTATTATATATTTTGTCCTAGTTGAACTTGATGTATGTTAGATCTTATGATGTTAGTTGTTACTTTGACAAGCTTGTAAAGGTTGGTGGCATCACTTGGGTATTTGAGTTTTCAAGTTGAAATGTTGTGGTCTAGGTGTATTATATATTTATTTTAACATATTGATTCGGGAGATGCATTTTTCAACAGTTTGGTAAGGGTTTTATGATTAGAACGCAACCCAATGTATGCTGTGACTCTGGGACACAAGTCACATACTGCAATTTATATAAATATTTTCAGACCTAACTTAACCCAAGTTATATCTTAGGAAAGTGTGAAGACTGTTGTTTAGTGCAGAAAACTTGCTTAGAAAATAACAAATACAGTAGTGTGTAGTGAGAATTGTTGTATAGTGACGCATGTGGAATTATTTTTTTTTTTAAGTAATGATTGTTTATGTAAAATACTATACTTAACTCTTATCAAGTAGGTCTGTGGTAAAGAAACATCTATTTTTATGTGGTTAGCAATGAAGAAGGTATATAGGGCTCATAATTGTTGTTTGATCACTATCTTAGCAAAGACTCATGGATACATAGTGGTCACAATTGTTGACTGACTGTTATCTTAGCAAAGTCTTGGATATATGTTGGTCATAATTATTCATTGATTGTTAGTAAAGTTTTGGTTATATATATTGTTCTTAGTTGTGCACAGATTGTTATCTTAGCAAAGATTTACAGGTATATAGTGGCCATTCTTATTTACTGTGTCATAACAAAGATTCAGATATATCGTAGTCATTATTGTTAATTGTTCTTTTAAAGATCAGTTGTGTTTACTTGATTGTGTGTGAATATGTGTAGTTTATTTGTAATTTTTTAATATTTTTTTTTTTGTCATCTATAAAGCTGTATTGGAAACTTCAGTACAGTTGGGCTTCAGTACAGTTGGTACAGGCTGTTGGGCCTGACAGAATCTCACCATGGATACTAAAGGAAGGTACAGAAGCACTAAGTGTGCCACTCTCTATGGTGTATAACTGGTCACTGGAAACGGGAGACTTACCAGAAAGTTGGAAAACAGCTAACGTAGTCCCAATATACAAGAAGGGTGACAGGCAAGAGGCACTGAACTACTGCACAGGGCAGTTTCCCTAACTTGTATACCATGCAAGGTGATGGAGAAGATTGTGAGGAAAAGGCTCATAGAGCATCTGGAGGGAAATAACTTTGTAACGCACCACCAACATGGGTTCAGGGATGGTAAATTGTGCCTCACAGGTTTCATAGAATTCTATGACCAGGCAACAAAAATTAGGCAGGAAAGAGAAGGGTGAGCCGACTGCATTTTCCTGGACTGCCAGAAAGCCTTTGACACAGTACCCCATAAAAGGCTGTTAAAAAAGTTGGAGCAACAGGCAGGAGTAAAAGGAAAGGTGCTCCAGTGGATAAGGGAGTACTTAAGCAACAGGAAACAGCGAGTAACGGGGAAGGGGGAGACATAAGAGTGGCGAGATGTCACCAGCAGAGTCCCACAGGGCTCGGTACTTGGACCCATCCTGTTTCTAATATATGTAAACAATCTTCCGGAGGGTATAGACTTGTTCCTCTCAATGTTTGCTGATGATGCAAAAATTATGAGAAGAATCAAGACGGATGAAGATAGACAGAGACTACAGGATGACCTGGACAAACTGGAGGAATGGTCTAGAAAATGGCTGCTAAAGTTCAACTCAGGAAAGTGTAAGGTAATGAAATTAGGAGAAGGGAGCAGGAGGCTGAACATAAGGTATTATCTGGGAGGTAAAATCCTGCAAGAGTCAAATAGAGAGAAAGATCTGGGGGTTGATATCACACCGAACCTGTCCCCAGTGGCCCACATCAAAAGAATATCAGCGGCATATGCTAGACTGGCCAACATAAGTACTGCCTTTAGAAACTTGTGTAAGGAATCGTTCATGACCCTCTATACCATTTATGTAAGACCAATCCTGGAGTATGCAGCTCCAGCCTGGAGTCCATACCTAGTTAAACACAAGACAAAGTTAGATTTGATTCAGCGGTATGCCACCAGGCTCGTCCCGGAACTGAGAGGAGTGAGCTGCGAGGAAAGGCTAAAGGAGCTGAACCTCACATCCCTGGAAAACAGAAGAGTATGGGGAGACATGATAACCACCTACAAAAGTCTCAGGGGAATTGACAGGGTGGACAAAGACAAACTCTTCAGCACGGGTGGGACACGAACAAGGGGACACAGGTGGAAACTTAGTTCCCAGATGAGCCACAAAGACGTTAGAAAGAACTTTTTCAATGTCAGAGTAGTTAATAAATGGAATGCACTAGGACTAGGTGGAGGCTGACTCTATACACAGTTTCAAATGTAGATATGATAGAGCTCAGTAGGCTCAGGAATCTGTACACCAGTTGATTGACAGTTGAGAGGCGGGACCAAAGAGCCAAAGCTCAACCCCCGCAAGCACAGTTAGGTGAGTACAATTAGGTGAGTACAATTAGGTGAGTACAGTACTTTAAGCTTAAATGAGTTCTGGCCAACTTCTTGGTACAGTAAACCAGAACATGATGTCTGCTTCACCAAGTTGATTTGGTTCACTGGCCTGATTTGCCCAACAAATATCTATACAGTATTAATATTTTCCACAGTTTTTACTATTTTCCTGTTGCTAGTAGTAAATATTAATATAAAAGAAATGCTATTAAAATTTTACTAAGTATTTCTTTATTTGAATATTATGTGATGGTCATAGCCCTATTGTAGCCTGACATGCCCTGGCTGTGTTTCTTTTTTCTTGTGGTCATCCTGTAAAACCTTTCAGTACTGGGTGATGTTTATTCATATACTTGGAGTTTATACTTGGAGGGGGTTCTGCTCCCCAAGCCCCGGCCTGAGGTCAGGCTTGCTTCTCTGATTATTTTACCATTTGTGAGTTGAAAAGAAGTATATTAGCACACTGTTCTCAGTGAATTTTATTCACAGTTAATTATTTTGCCATTGCTAAGTTGACAATAAATTAGCAGCAGCAGCAGTAATCAGGTTTAACCTGGGAGGGGAGGAAGAGGTATCATAACATAGAATAAAAAGCTAAAATGATTGAGAAAAGTGAGCAAGTCTGGTGAGTGCCAAGTGAGAGAATTAGTGGCAGTAGTTCAAGTGTAAAAGTGCTCCAGAAACCAAAGCAATAGGAATTAAAGGCGGCTGCTTGTAAATAGTTGATGGCGTAGCCTGGTCAGAGATCAGGCCACAGGGACGTTGATCCCCAAAATCATCGCAAAGTAATTAAAGGAAGGTAACTGCAAGGTAAGGTAGCATAGTGTATGTGCTGTATACAGTCTATTATATTGCAAACATGCTCATGTACTGTATACCCACATTCTGCCCTCATAGATTAATAAGGTCAATCAGCTCTTCTCCGAAGTAAAATTAACTATTTATTCCTTTTTCTTAAATTTTGATTTTTATTCTATTTTTACCTTCTAGAATATTTAAAATATATTCTTTATATATAATGTTTTTATGTATGTGTTCTATCGTTTGGGGGTCAAAAAAACAAAATTGTTGCAATAAATAGCAAAAAACTCTGAAAAATGCTGTAAATTGGAATTCTCAGTAAAACAGAAAAGATTTAGCGCCATTTAGCTTGTTCGTGAAAAGTACTGCTACGTAATCATTATTATAAAATAATTGTGTGACGAGTTGACCAGTAAATGTAATAGGTTCCTTGAATTATTCTGATGCACAAACAGTGGTCAGGGTAAAATCACTAGTGATCAGCCACTAATGCAAGTTGTTTCTGTTTCAAATAATAATTTTTGGGGGGAGCCCCGTCGGCTCCCCAGAGCTATCCAGGCTGAATGGATATGTGTATCTTTCTGGCATCAGTCAATGCATTGAGTTCTTGCCTACCGGGGACCACGAGCCATGAACCTGGCCCCCTCTAGTGAGGCATGAGGAGCAATGGCCTATAGAGACCCCCGAGTGGTTGGGAGCATTCTATGTCTGCCATCGACCAGGATAGGCACCCAGAAAGGTAGGTGCCCCAAAACAAACCCCCTATTCTGGTAAAATTATTGCGACCGAACAGGTGGACAGAACTCCCCAAACGAAAATTAGCAAACTAGCTTGACGTCATCACGTCGCCGCGCCTCTGTCTGTGCAACCCTCCCCTCCTCCCCGGGAGTGGGAAGGGGGAGCCCCAGACCCAACCACCGGCAACCCAACCTACAGTTCTTAGGCTGATGGGAGTTTGGTGTGGCCGTGCCTCTGGCTCCAGTTTTCCGTTACTGTTCTGTGCCTTGTGGTGTGGGCTGTCCCTTCAGGTGGTGCATGAGCCGGGAGTGAGATTCCACGGTACTCAGGCTGCATGCGCCTAGGGGCACCTTCCCTAAATGCTCTGTAAGTACTACCCTTGGGGCTTGGGACCTCCTTCCACAAGTCACCTCGGGATCTACCTCCGCTGTGCCGATTACTGCTCGGTATTTGGCCGCCCTTGGAGTCGGCTGGGTTTTTTCGTACCCTTGTTTATCTCTGGGCAGGGGGGTAGTTTTTGTCACTGGCAGGGGCGCAGGGGTACTGCACAGCTAGTTTTCACCTATAACAGCGGCCGGCTCTGTTCCGCCTGGGTACGTTGTCCTCTTGCAGGGTTTTTTCTTTTGTTTTTGTTTTTGTTCTCTATCATCATTACCTAGCCTTAGAACTTTACATTTATCAGCATTAAACTGCATCTGCCAGTCTTATGACCATTTCAAAACCCTATTTAGATCAACTTGCAGTGATAGTGAGTCTTCTTCCGTGTTAATTTCCCTACTGATTTTTGTATCATCGGCAAATTTGCAAATGTTGCCACTCAAACCTGAATCTAAATCATATATATTATAAACAACAGAGGTCCCAAGACAGAACCTTGAGGCACTCCACTTACAACATTTTCCCACTCTGACTTAACCCCATTTATACTAACTCTGTTTCCTTTGGTATTGCCATGCCCTAATCCAACTTAATATAGCACCCCCAGTACCATGAGCTTCTATCTTTTTTAATCAATCTTTCATGTGGCACTATATCAAAAGCTTTGCTGAAGTCAAGGTACACAACATTGCAAACCTCACCACTATCAACTGCCTCAACTATGCTGGAATAAAAAGATAGCAAATTTGTTAAACATGAACGACCATTTGTAAAACCATGTTGTGACTCGTTTATTAATTTATGTTTTTCAAGATGAAGACGAATGGTATTTGCAATTATCGATTCAAGTAACTTTCCCACAATAGACGTTAGGCTAATTGGCCAATAGTTTGATGCAAGTGATCTATCTCCTTTTATAGATCGATAGCTTCCCCTTTGGAATTTGCTTGGGCCCTGGCTCTTAGGTTTTTGTCACCTTTTTGTCCCTTGCTGTTTGCAGATTCTGCAGGCGGGCAGTATCTGCAGGCAGCTTCTTGTAGTTGCCATCCGATGTCGGGCTTGTTGGTTCTCCATGGGGCCCAGGGGGGAGGTTCTTCTTGGAGGAGTCATGCCAGGGCTTGGGGTTCCTCTTGTTGTGGTAGGCCGGCAGTGCCAGTTTCAGGGCAGGCGCCACTTTCAGACACATCTGCATCTGGTCGGCATGGTGTTTGCTCTGTGCGTCAGTCGGGTTCTCACAAGGGGGGTCGGCCCTTTGGCAGTTCACCCCGTTGACGGAACGATGGGGGAATGGGATGGATTTTTGGGTTGTTTCCAACAGTCTGCGGTGGTTGTTGGGTGGCTCCTCCTTTGGGGGGTTCGGAGCTGGCGGGGCTGGCCTCTTCTCCTGCGCTCTGTTGGATCATCTTGGAGTGGGTACGCTTGGGTGTTGTTGAAACGACGACGTCCCTCAGGTGGGTTTTCCGTCTGTTTCCAGTCCTGAAAGGTTTTGTTGTGGAGCATCTTGGTTACTGCTTTTGTGGCCTTCCATTCGGCTTGAACCTGGCACCTTGTGTGTTTACACACCTTACCTGGGTTGTGGTGGCGCGTCTGCGTCTGTCAGGGGTTCGGTGCTGGCCTACCTCGACGACTGGCTGGTGTGGGCCTCCCAGTCAGTCCATGTGTCTGTTCACCAGGGATTTGGTTCTTTCCCAGCTCACCGGGTTTGGGTTCTTGGTAAACTGGAGGAAGTCCCATATGGTTCCCTCTCAGATTCGAACTTGGTTGGGTCTTAGTGTGGGACTCTCGGACCGCTTCCTTGTCTCTCCCTCTGGAGTCTCTGTTTAGCTGCGGTCTCGCCTTTGCATGTTTCTAGGGGGCTCCTGGGTCACTTGGTGGTTGCTCAAGGGTTTGTGTGGGAGCTTGAACTTTGCCATGACGGTCTACCCGTCGGGTCGGGTTTGGCTTCGTCGGCTGTTCTGGTTTCTTCGTGGCCATCCCTTCCGCCTGTCTCGTAATCGCTGGGTTCGACCTCTAGAGGCCTTGTGTCGCTGGCTTCCTCTTCAGGTTTTTCGGGGTTCAGTGCCTTGGCATCTACCCGAGTCCTCACTCGATGTGTTCACGGACACATCATCTTTGGCTGAGGCTTTGTGACCAGTGCTCACCAGGCCGGCTAGGGGCGGTGGGGTCCGTCCTTCCGTCGGGCCCATAGCACGGTGCGAGAGTTCGTGGCGGAGGGGTCTGTCCTTCCGTCGGGCCCACAGCACGGTGTGGGAGTTCGCAGCAGTGTGGATATTGCTTCGGGGGGTTCAGGTCACTCGCGGATTGATGATAAGGCTCCATTCGGACTGCTTCCTGGTAGTTCATTGCCTGAACCGTGGGGGTTCAATGCAGTCCTTGGCTCTTTGGGGCTGGTCGCTTCAGGTGACTCATCTGCTAAGTTCTCTGGGTTTGGCTCTCCTGGCGGTTCATGTTCAGAGGGGTGGCCAACGTCCTGGTCGACGGTCTGTCTCGGTTCATTCCCCTGTCCACAGAATGGACAGTCGACGCCGACTCGTTCAGTTGGCTCTGTCGGATGAATGGGCTCCCAGAGGTGGACCTCTTCCCGTTGGCATGGTCAAGGCATCTCCTGGTATATGTGGCACCCTTCTCCGACTGCAAGGCCGTCGGGGTCGATGCTTTTCGGCAGGACTGGTCGATGTGGGGTTACCTGTACCTCTTTCCCCCGGTTCAGCTGTTGCTCCAAGTCCTAGCTCACTTGGAGACTTACCAGGGAAGAGTAGTCCTCTTGGACTCTTGGTGGCCGGCCCAGCCATGGTTTCAGGTGCTGCTTGCTCAGTGTCCGAACCCAGAGGTTTTCCTGTGGCTTCGTCTCTTTCAGCTGATCGGTCCGGTCCATTACGTGGCTGGATCGATCTTCTCCTTGGGTCTTCGCGTCTGGTATTTTAGACTCAAGTCTATCAGCATCTGTTTGGTGATCAGGTGACTTTATTAACCCTTAAACTGCGCATGGCGTATACAGTACTGTATATATGACAGGACCCGATGGTACCATAAGTTAAATTTTTCATGCTTTTTCTAACGCTTTCAAATTTTTTGTGCATGATCTACTAGGCAAACAGTCCAACTTTGTCTAAATGATTATCAACATAACTTGAAAAACAAGAAAATTAAAAATAATTATAAAATTTAATATTGAAAATTTCTGATTTTCAGATCAGCTGCAAAAATATTAAATATCACCAATTGTTCATTAAGTGTTATTATGCTCTCAGAATAGTATATGATCTTCATTTTAATAGGTTTAGAATGTAGATCTTCAGTTTAGTTTACTGTAAAAAGAATCGTCAATATGACATTTGAAATGTGCATCAAATTCAGGCAACAAAATTTACAACTCAAAACGTTTAGGGTTTATTAAAAATCCATTCTAATAGGATTGTAGAACCAACAGCGGTGTACACTATATGTAAAAATGGTGTTTGGTGTTTCCTTATAACTCATCCCTCAGGGAATGAAGAGACCATTGGTCAATGACCCTTAACTGTTCATTCATTTTCACCCTGCAGTAATTGGTGACCATATGTAAGACAATCGTAGATTATGTTCCAAGGAAAACTGGTATGGTACGGCTTTAAGATTAGTTGTGGGAGGTAGAGTTTTAAGTTAACAGGAATCAGCACTCGTCTCCTGTATCCACCTGTGTAAAAAAAAAAAAAGTTATCAGAGTATTGGTAGAAATTTTAAGAATACCAATACAGAATTTAAAACATAGACTGATACCATCCATTCCGAGACATCAGCAGTACACCTCGATATGACTGAATAGACTTGCAACTAATACTTTTGCATGGTGGCCACATGAAATATTTCAGCAACTATAATTCTAACTTTATAAATTTATTTTATTTTCAGGCTGTGATAGAAGAACATTTAGAAAAGCTGGCTATAAAAAACTCCCAATTGGAATCAACAATGCACTCGTAAGTATTCACTGTACAAGATAGTATTCTAGTAGATAGTAATACTTACTGCATTCGTAAGTACTAGATAGTATTTCACATTACTTACAGCTCCTTACAAAGTCAAGAAGACTCTCTTAGTCCTACAAACATTTATTGTAAAGTATAATTATGGTATATTTATGGTGCTGTACTGTATTAATAGTTCTCAGCTGGAAGAATGAATTACAAACTGGGATTTGATGTCTTAGCCCTTGAACTGTGCAGGTGTTTAAAAGTACAACATCAAAGTGCACATAAGTGTAAATAGCTGACAAATGAAGAGAAAAAATGCAATTGGCAATTGAAGTACGGGATGAAATGGCAGGTAGCAATTAAAGCACAGGAGAAAATTGCAGATAAAAAATTAGAACACAGAAGGCAATCGTAGATAGCGATTGGAGCACAGAAGGAAATAACAGATACAAAATTAGAACACAGGAGAAAATTGTAGATAGTAATTGAAGCACAGTAGAAGATTCCAGATAGTGATTGGAGCATAGTAGGAAATCACAGCTAATTATTAGAGCATGGGAGGGAATTGCAGACAAGTGACTGGAGCCTCTTTTATAGTGACTGATGGCTCCCAGAAGCTATCTTGCTAAGACTGTTCCATGCTAAAAGATCACATCAGTTGCAGCAGTTCTGTTTGGCCTTCTGGAATCCAGAGCCAAAATCTGGCTTTCCCCCCACAGCGGCGCAGGGAGTGAGTGACAATTGGTCACCCAACTGGAAAATCATCCAGAACATCAGTGAAACTTTACAGACAACTGAAGGTTTACAGAAGATGGTTCCTCAAAAACTGGCAAACAATTCTGCAAATGATTCACACATATCAAGGGACTAACTCAATCTAGCTCGGAACTCATTAGTACCAATCATCACCATTAGACGGCCTCACCCCTACCTGCAGCCAGCTTCCCTGATCAGTTCTGTTGTAGATATTATGGTGGAAGATTCTACCAGTAATGCTCCAGTCTGCCAGTTGTGTGCAAGCCCCTCAGTTAGCTTCACATTGTGTGAGCTTGGCTTTTGTTATGCTTCAGGCTGCATGCGCTCTGAGCGTTCTTCCTTGGGTACCCACTAGTGCTGCCCCCTGCACTGACAGATTATCTTCTTCACTGTGTTCTGGAGTTAACTTTGAGAGGCCAGCCACTGGGGTGGGGCCTCTCCTTGGGCTATTCACAGGTCTTTGACTCCTCTATTTGAGGAGTCAAAAGAACAACCCCACCAATCTTGACTGGGGGGGTGTTCCTTACCCATTTGTCCGCCTCCCCTTTTTTGCCTCTCGTCTTTCCTGAAGATGTCGTTGCCCAGGTTTTGTCCATTGGAGCTTCCTCTTGCCACCCCATGGATCATTTGTTGTTTTCTCATGATTTTATATCCACTCTGTCAAGTGGGAAGCTCACCTGCTTTTGGTTGTGGTAGATCCTCAGATGGGTCCAATTTCTGGGCCGTTGTGCTTCCTGCTGAGAATTTCTCTTCATCTCAACATCGCCAATACGTGTCATGGCTTGACCGATTTTCTCTAAGCTGTATGTGCCCATGCTTTGGGAGGCGGTTGCTGGGTTGTACTCTGCCCGTCTTGCATGTCAACAGGCTGTGTTGGCCCAGTTCTTACATTCAGCTTGGTCCTTGGGCCCCTTTATCCCCCTCCCCCTCTTTGCCTATTTTATTCTGTTTCCAGAGGAGGTTGTTGCACAGTTTTGTTTTCTACAGCAGCTTTATGCCGACCCATTTCTCATTTATTATATACTTAGGGTTCTCTTCCTCATTTTCTGAAGTGGTCGGGTAGGGCTGTGGCTTTACCCACTGCTGACTAGAGTAGCCCTTCAGTAGAGCTGGATTCAGGGTCACATGCGCCTCCTATTTTTGGTTCCTCTACTGCTCATTGGCACTGCTCTATCATTTTGTGGAAAGTCACTGCTGTTCACAGTTTGTCTTGGTCCTTTTGTGGTTCACCACTTTGATGGGATGGTTGGGGGGGTGACTCACCTGATTTGCTGAGATCCTGGTCCCATGATTTGTGTTTTTTTTGGGTATTTTCATGAGGGCCTCCGGTGGAGTTAGTTAGTCATTTCTCCCTCCTGGGGGTCAGAGCTATCAGGAAAGGCCCTCTCTTACCTCACCTCTGTTGGGTCATTGCTGAGTAGGTGACTTCCAGCGTGGTCAAAGTGATCGCTTATCTTTGTTGGGTGTCTAGTCTCTTCCTGGTCACGAAATGGGACTCGGCAGAGCTCTGCTTCATCCTCACTCTTTCAGGGTTGAATGTGTTCATCCCCTTGGCTCACTTTTCACATGACCATTCTGGCACAGGTTTGCCTGTTGTTGGAGGCTGGGGCTTTGATGATTTCTCTGAACCTCAAGGACACTTGTTGGCATGTCCCCATACATCCAAGGTTCAGAGCTTGGTTAGGTTTTGTCCTGGAGTGGCAGGCTTAATGCTTCAGGATCCTTCCCTTCAGTTTGAATCTGGCTTCCTGTATTTTCACCAAGTTGGCTCAGGTCATAGTGACTCTTCTTCATTAGTTTGGGGCTAAGGTTTTGGCCTACCCTTATGACTGGCTGGTTTGGATCTACAGTCAGTCCACGTGTCTGCTAGCCCAGGATCTGGCTTTTTCCCAGCTCACTGAATTTGGGTTTCAATTGATGGCAGAAGTCCCAGTTGATTCTAGGTTCAGACTTGGCTGGGTCTCGTATGGGACTTTTGGTGAACATCGCTTTTCTCCTCCTCCGGTGGCTTTGCTCCAGCTGCAACATCGCCATTTTCTGGTGTTGAGACAGCACTGGGTGATTCCTTGTTTGCTCAAGTAGTTGTGTGGGAGCATGAACTTTGTCTGAGTGGTTTTTCTGCTGGGCAGGGTGTGGTTTCGGGAGTCCTTTTGGTTTCTCCTATTTTGCCCCTTTTGCCACTGATACGATCATCGGGTTTGGGCCATGATCACCCTTCAACAGCTGCTTCTTCGCCAACTTCCTCTATGGGGTTTTTGGGGTTTGGTTCCTTGGTGCCTTCCTCTACCATTGTTCGACATGTTAACATACACATCAGCTCTGGGCTGGGGTTTCATGACCAGCGCTTAACAGGCTGCCCAGGGTTGTTGGTCAGGTCTGTTGTGTTGGGCGCATAGTACAGTGTGCGTGTTGTGGCTATCTGCCGTGCCCTGAGGAGGATTCAGATTCCTCTGGGCTCCATACTTTGGCTTCATTCAGACTATTACCTAGAGGTTCATTGCTTGAACCAGGGAAGTTCGCTTTGGTCCACTGCTTTCAGGCGCAAGCGGGACCACAGTCATAGGAGAGACTCTGGAGGAAGAGAGAAGGAAACGGTCCGAGAGTCCCACCCAAGACCCAGCCACTGCCGAACCTGGCAGGGAACCAGATGGGACTTCCTCCAGTTCACCAAGAACCCGAACCCAGCGAACTGGGAAAGAACCAGATCCCTGGCCAGTAGACAACAGGACCAGCTGGGAGCCCAAACTAGCCAGTCATCGAGGTAGGCCAACACCCGAATACCTAAGAGATACAGACGGGCCACCACAACCCGTGTAAGGCGTGTGAACATGCGAGGGGCCAGATTTAACCCAAACGGGAGACCACGAAAACGGTAACCTTGACGCCCCACAACAAAACTGAGCCAGTCCCTGAACCCCAGATGTATTGGGACGTGCCAATAAGCGTCCCGAAGGTGCAGGGACACTATCTAAGAACCTGACTCCAACAGGAGTCGAACCTGGGACAGCGTAGTCATCCGAAAGGAGGAGCAATGAACCCAGGGGTTCAAACGGGACAAGTCCAGAAGGAATCGCAGGTCCGCACAGTCCCATTTCAGGACTGGGAACAGACGGGAAACCCACCTGAGGGACGCCGTCGTTTCGACGACGCCCAAGCGAACTCGCTCCAAGACGACTCGACGGGGCGCAGGAGTAGAGACCTGCTGCGAACCCCCTGAAGGGGGAGGGGCCACCCAACTCCACCGCAGGCTGAAGGAAACAACCCGAAACTCCCACAAATCGTGGGACCAGGCATGAGTGAACAGCGCAAACCTCCCCCCATCGCCCCGTCAATGGGGCGAACCGCGAAATGGCCGACACCCCTTACGAGACCCAGAACCTCGCACAGAGCGAACACCGTGCTGACCAGCTGACCAAACTAAGGAACGGTGGGGTCTGTCCTTCCGTTGTGCCCACAGCACGGTGCGGGAGTTTGTGGTGACGTGGTTTGCACTGCGGAGGGTTCGGGTCGCCTGCGGATTGACGATCCGGCTCCATTCGGACTGCTCCAAATGGAGCAGTCCGAATGGAGCTGAATGGACTGCTGCTCGGGGTTTTAACTCTCCTGGCTGTTCATGTGTGGGGAGTGTCCATTGTCCTGGCCGACGGCTTGTCTCGTTTCGTTCCCCTTTCCTCGGAATGGACGGTCGTGAGGTAGGGGGGGTTCCTGTAACTCTTTTCCCCGGTTCAGCTGTTGCTCCAGGTCCTGACTCGCTTGGAGACCTACCAGGGGAGAGTAGTCCTCTTGGCCCCGTGGTGGCCAGCCCAGCCTTGGTTTCAGGCACTGCTTGCCCGGTGTCCGAACCCGGAAGTTTTCCCGCAGCTCCGCCTCTTCCAACAGATCGGATCGGAGCGTCACGTGGCTGGTTCGATCTTCTCCTCAAGTCTTCGCGTATGGTCTTTTTGACTCAAGTTTATCATCATTTCTATGGTGATCAGGTGGCTTCCTTGTTAGTGTCCCACCTGCGGGCTTCGTCTCGGCAACGGTATGAAGTTTCCTGGCGGTCCTTCCAGTTCTTTTCGAGGCTTTGTCATTGTGCTTTGCTTTCTGTTAGGGGTGGTGTTGTCCTTTCTCTCTTGGTTGTTCCAGGACCGTCACCTTATACCTAACACTGTCGCCTCGTATTTTGCGGTGCTGGCGAAGCCGCTTCAGCTTGCTTTCGGTATTGTTGTTACTTCTGCGTTGTTTCGCAAGCTGTCTCGTGCGTTCTTTCACCTCCGGCCTGCTCATGCGCCGCCTGAGCCGTCCAGGTCATTGAACAGAGTGCTCTCTTTTCTTTCTTCTCCTCAATTTGTTGTGGCCCCTTCGTTGACGATTGTTTTTCCAAGGCTCTTTTTTTTCTGTTAGCATTGGCCCTCTGGAGGTCGGGTTGGGGAGCATCATGCCCTCCTCCGGCACAGGGGTTTCTGCTCTTTCGGTCTTTGTGATGGTTTTGTCTGTCTGCAGCCGTCTCCTTCTTTTCTGTCGAAGAATAAGACTGCTGCTTTCCGGAGGGGTCCCTGGGTTGTTGATGCTTGGTCGGTTAGGCCAGGGGTGCATCATCTTTTGCGTCCGGTTGCGGCTCTTCGCCGTTATTTGCGCGCCACGGCTTCTATGTCCGGTGACGTGCTTTGGGTTGATCCGATTTCCCTTCTTCCCTGTTCATGGGTGAGGGTCTCCCAGGTCATCCGCAGAGTTATTAAGGCTAGCCAGCCTGCGGTCTATGACCATGACGTTCGTAAGTTCACTGCTCTTGCTGCTGTCTTTGGCAACATGTCCTGGGCTAACATTCGGGCATGAGGATTTTGGCGGTCGAACAGGGTCCCGGCTGCCCGTTACCTTGTGAACGTTCCAGGGCCCAGTCTGAGCTGTGTCGCTTTGGGTCGGCGGTTGCAGCCAGTTGTCTCGTCTTCGAGTTGAGGAGTGAGCAGCGACCGCCTCCCAGGTAAGTCCTTATTACAATTTTCTTCTGTGGGTAGTTAGCTCCGGGAAGCCGAAGGGGCTCCCCCCACTAAACCAACGTTGAATGTAATGAAACACCATTTTCTGGGTGAGACCCGGAGGCTCCCCGGCTCCCATTCGGCGGTTTTTCGCGTGTTTTGACATCCAGCCTCAGAACTGACGGGTGGATAGCCGCTGTGGGTGGTCTGGGGCTCCCCCTTCCCCCTCCCGGGGAGGGGGGAACTGCGCAGACAGCGGCGCAGCAACGTGTGACGTCATGCTCATTTTGCTCGTTTTTTTTAGGGGAGTTCTATCTACTTGTTTAGCTTTTGGTAGCAATATTTTCACCAGAATAGTTTTTTTGGGGGATGCTTATCTTTCTGGGTGCCTGACCCAGACGATGGCAGAAGTAGAATGCTTCCAACCACACGGTGGGTGTCTAAAGGCCATTGCTCCCCATGCCTCTCTGAGGAGGGCAGGTTCTGGCTCGTGGTCCCTGGTAGGCCTACTGAACTCCATACACATGATTGATGCCAAAGTCTGACATTAGCATATCAGCCTAGTAAGCTCCGGGGAACCTTCAGGTCTCGCCCAGAAAATGGTGTTAAATTACATTCAACGCTGTTTTTTTTATTCTGTACTCTAATTTTAATTTAATAATGATACTTATGAATGACTATCAAACTGCATTAGCAAAATATGTTTCCTTAATTATTTGTTTAGGAGTTCCATGATAAGTTTTGTGGGTGGTTGTTAAAATTAGAAGGTATAATTCTGTACAATTTCAAATTCTTTTCTATATTTCAAAGCAACCACCTTGGTCTGCCTCTTGCCCATTCTCTTTATCTTAGAAACATTCAAACTTCTGCAGGACTCACGTTGTTACCTGTGAAGACACCTCACGCACCCCGTTTACACCGCATGAACCCAAGATCATGATTTTAAGAAGACCGCAAGAAAAATTGGATTCGACTCCTAATGGGATGATCAGCATTAAGCAGAAACCTGTTAAAACACTTGAACAGGTATATTTATTCCTTATTTAAGTGTTTAATTACTGTAGATGTTATGTTCTGTGTGTAGTTACCTAAGTGTAGTTACCTAAGTGTAGTTACAGGATGAGAGCTATGCTCGTAGTGTCCTGTCCTCCCAGCACTCTTTGTTATATAACGCTTTGAAATTACTGACGGTTTTGTCCTCCACCACCTTCTCACCTAGCTTGTTCCAACCGTCTACCACTCTGTTTGCGAAAGTTAATTTTTTTATATTTCTTTGGCATCTTTGTTTTGTTAGTTTAAATCTGTGACCTCTTGTTCTTGAAGTTCCAGTTCTCAGGAAATCTTCCCTATCAATTTTATCAATTCTTGTTACTATTTTGTACATAGTGATCATATTGCCTCTTTTCTGGGGAAAGCCCCTTTGGCTTCCTGGAGCTAACTGGGCTGATATGAATGAATTAGACCCTGGTATCATCAATGTACTTTGCTCTCAACTAGTGCATCTTTGCATTCTACGCACCAAGTGCAGATGGAGCTTCGCTTCTGTTCCCTACCTTGCGTGTTCTTGCAAACAACACAGACACTTTTACCTTTTTCCCATGTGCCTGTGCTTGGCATATAACCATGCTTGTATACAGCAAGGTGTTCTTTAATCTTGAGTCTGTTAGGAACTGCGCAACGCATTGTTGTTGACACCCCACGCATCTCAACACAGCCCTCCACCCCCATACTTCACCGGTAGTTGTGACACTAGAGCAACACTGAATATACGGATAGGTGGTCTCTTGCCAGATTTCATGAGATACATATTGAAACAGTTCAGCACTGCAACGTCAATGAGGTGGAAATCAAATTTCTTCGTCTACTTCAGATTTTCATACACATTCAACGGCACCAACCATCATGTTGCATTTATCTACTAAGCGTATACTGTATTTACATTGTAGTCAATGGCACATCAGGTTTATACATTGGCAACCTTGTTGCAAAGTTCACTTATCCACTATCCAACATGGCACCGTTGTGAATAGTTGTCAACATATTCACCTCATGTCTGCCTCTCCAGCACACTTATAACATTTGATCACACTTTCGCAGCTGGCATTCACCCACTGTAATACCAAAGCCAAACACTGGCATTTCCCTCGTGTGAGCCTTGACAGTGCCACATACGCTGGTGTTGTGGTCAAGGAGGAATTTGGTCACCGTAGGGGCTGGTATAGTTGCTGTCAGTGTACAGGATATGTCCCTTGTTCAACAATGGTTCCATGAGTGTTTTCACGACACTGCCTGAGAATCCGTGTGGATCTTGACCTGGTATGTCAACGTCTGTACCTGAATACAATATCATATCCATGACAATACCAGTTTTGCAGTCACATAGCACGAAGAACTTTAGTCCAAACCTGTGCCATTTTTTATGGAATGTACTGCTTGAACACAAGCGATTCATCTATCACGACATTCTGTGCTGGTACAAAATAGTCATGGAACTTTCCTCTCAAATCACAAAATATCTTCCGCACTTTCCACAGTCTGTCGTGTCCATCTTCATTAGCATTGTTCTCAAAGTACAGGCACCTGAGAAGCAGAAGGAACCTATCATGTGACATGTATCTGTTGAACATGGGGGATGGAACAAGACTGTCTTTGTTCCAATAATCCTGGCTCACATGTTTATCTGAATGCCTCATCATCATGCACAATGCTTAAAACACATACATTTCCTCATTAGTTGTGTCATTCCAATGTGTCATTCAAAAGGCAGGTAAAATTCCAGAGTCAATGAGGTCTTGAGCATATCTGTTCGTCTCTGCAACAAGATGGTCCATGAATTGCTGATCGAAATATGCCATAAAATAATCAATTTCAGGCATATCATCACCAGTATAGGGGAATAAGGGTGTCACACCAACATCGGCATCATCAAATGTTGGAATTTGTGGGACAAAATTCTCACAATCCTGCCACACAAGTACACCCGTGTTTTTGGTTTTGACGCCAACACCAGCACCAGCACCACTAGCATGGGCGCCAACACCACACTCTGTCGTCTTGTGCTAAAGCTGCGTATGGGTATGCCAGTAGATGAGGTGTGTTCTACGTAGTATAGACCTACCACGAACACCTGATGTCAAGGGGAATACTGTCGTCATTGTCCTCTGGCTGCATGACATGCTGGCAGTTGCCTGGGCGAGGTGCTGGGGCAGCAAAACCCCGCCTAGTAACACCATAGTCGCTTGCACTCGTTTCATCAACACTGCTTGTATCTGAGTCTATGTCACTGAACCCCCAAAATGACTCATCACATGTACTATCACCAAATAAACTCACGTCAGGTGACACAGTTGGTGATGGTAACTCTTGTGGTGTTGACCCAGGGCGGCGTGGGAGGCCGGGCAAGGCACGTGTACTGTACACACTCAGGACATCTTCCACCTCAGTCTCCTCATCACTTGTGTCAGACCCCTGTGTTAGGTCTTTATCTGGACTGTAGTTTAAATCGTCAACAATCGGTCCATCATCATACAATATGTTACATATTTCCTCCTTTGAGAGTTGTTTTGCAGCACCGCGGCTGACCATGGACCGGGAGCTTGTAGACGATGCATCAGACATGGTTGCTTTCTTGAAACTGAGGGTCCCCCTGGCCCTGGGGCATGCAGGGATTTTTTTTTTAAATGGCAGACGATCATTAAAGGCCTCAGGCATCCATTTCGTACCCACGTTACCACGAGCCAGTTTTGATTCGTACGCTATACCTACGAGCGCCCTGAGGTGCTATGCGCACCACCAATCTAGCGCTCGGTGCACTATGTGCAGTGCAGTGGTTAAACCACCTTACTGTCTTTGGTGAATAATGATCATGCAGTTCTCAGTACTGTATTACCGCAGATTCAAACCTGCTTCTGAAAAAAGACATGTTAATGGTCTTATTTAATGGTTAAATAAAAAAATTACAATTAAATGGTTAAATTTATTACATTTAATGGTTTTAATGGTTAAATAAGAAAGATTAATGGTCTAATAGAATAGATGACAACCACTCTTAACAAGTACATATTGAGAGAATTAAACTAATTAAGGTAAATGTGTTGCAGAGACAGCAGGAATATGCCGAAGCAAGATTGAGAATACTTGGTGATGCAGGAAGCTCTGAAGAAAATAAGCCAAAGCCGATACAACAAAAATCTTTAGAGCAGGTATGCCTTTTTTTTTTAAAGTACGTAATGTGTAAATATTGTACTGGCATTTTCCAGGTAATTAATAATTAAACTAATAGGAATGATTGTTAACTATAGATAATTTACTTATTGGGCCTTTGACTAGCATTATTGGTGTAAAGTTAATTTAATAATTGTGGGGCATTTGTTACACAATGCCTGTGAAATGTATGATCTCCTTTGAGTACCCATTATTAAGTGATGGTAGCTCTTGCTGCTCAGTGAATGCAGATGTGTATGTAGGCCACGTGATTTAGCTTTTCAACGCTAACATTTGATCCGCTCGAGGGTGGATTAGCATGTACACATTAGGCACATGCTAACATTTGATCCGCTCGAGGGTGGATTCACGTGTACACATTAGGCACATGCTAACATTTGATCCACTCGAGGGTGGATTAGCATGTACACATTAGGCACATGAACTGTTGTTTTGTTTTCTGGGCTTGTCCCCAATCATAGCTTCCCAGGCATGTAATAGTGTGTGAATATTTAGAAAGTGTACTCTTTTTTTTTTTTTATTCACAAGCTTAAGTATACACAGTAATGTCCTGCTACCCTATTAAAAAACTAGCTATAAATTCATCTAATATTGCCATCTCACAGGATGATTAGTCATACGTGGAATCAGGAGACCACATAAAATGGGAGTCTAATAAATTAGCCTGCACTACCAAATCTGGGTAGAGCACAAGAATATCTTCCAATAATCATGAATGTATGAATTAGTTACAGAACTCAAAATACCTCATACCATTTGGTCTGAAATAATTGATAATAGGGCAATCTCAGATAATGTGTTGGAGAGCATGTCCTAGCTCCTGTTCACTTTGTTTACAATTGGAGTGTTCACCATTGGGGAATTTATTACCTGCAGCCACCTGCCATAGATATCAATATCCCAGCCTAATTCTGGCAATTACAATGTTACACTGTCTAGTGGATGTTTTGTACTGTCTATACAAATAGTTCTTCGTTCTAAACATACCATAACACTCTAAAATCATGCTTTCTGGCCTTTGAGTGTTGGTGACTGCTCTTCTGCTATCTCTAATTTCCTGAAATACAATCTCTGTTGTAAAAACTGCAATAAATAAGTGAACTAGAGAAGAAGGTAATGGAGGCAAACTCCAACCATAGCTTCAAGTGTAGGTATATGGTAAAGAAGAACAGTTCTAAGCAGTCTGTAAATGGGCTCATGTGTCTGATTCAGAATTCTAGACATGTATCTTTAAATAAAGTTTTGAAAAGAATTCTGTGCAAAACATTGTCTTTTGCATGATATAGGATAATTCCCCAAACAATTAGTTATTTTTTATTTTAAGATTTGTGTAGTTCCATGGTGAATATTTCCAAAAATGACATTATGTATATTAAGGGGGAAGAAGAATACATGTACCCTACTTATTGATTACCTATTGACAACACTGTGGATCAACAACCCTGCAGCCCAATCTCTGACCATCCCTTCTGATTGGTGGTCAGGTCAACCAGGCTGTTCGAAGCTGCTGCTTGTAACCTGCTGTATGAGTCACAGCCTGGTTGATCAGGTGTCATTTGAAGGTGTTTATCAAGCTTTCTTTAGAATGCTGCAAGTTATGCCCTGTATATGTAGAAGGGGGGGGATAAGTTGGAAAGTCTTGGGCCTTTAATGTTGATCAAGTTCTCTCTCTCTCTCAGAGTACCTATTGCACCTCTTGTTTTTCAATGGGACTATTTTGCACATCCTACCATCCCTTCTGGTCTCGTGTGTTATTTCTGTGTGCAGATTTGGAACCATTTCTTCTATATTTTCCAAGTGTAAATTATTACGTATCTCCTGCCTGTAATCTAGGGCATACTGATTTAAAAATTTTAAACGGTCGCAATAATTTAGATGTATTATTGAGTGGATTCTAGCAGTAAAAGTTCTTTCATGCTCTCCAGATCAGCAATTTATCCAGCTTTGAATAAGGCTGTTAGTATGCAACAATATTCCACTCTTGAGAGAACTAGATTATAATTGTTTATGAAATTATATTATTACTTCAATAACATTTTTAATACCACTTTATCTTAGTATCCTGTTCTGAATCATTCAGAGAGAAGCGGATTATGCGGCTGCACGATTGCGTATCATGGGATCCTCTTCCAAGTCGGTTGAAGAACCTATGTTAACAGGGTAAGCAGACAACAAAAAATATTTACATGTATCTATAATTAATATTGTATATATTATATATATATACAATATACTGAATGGATGATGATATTATATATATATTATATATATATATATATATATATATATTGTGACGGTAACGCGTTGGTGTTCGGCTGTTTAAGGCTAGGGGTATGGCCTCGTCACATAGTTATAAAAAAAAATAGAAAAACTGGAACTTCGTCTGTGGTAAGGTAAGGAGAAGACACACAAAACACAAGTAAAACTTTAACAATGAAATTTTAATTACGTTAAATAAATCAAAACATGAAAATATGGACAAACAAATATGTATAATAAAATCAATGAATCAAAATAATAAGAATACTTAAATGACACAATGAAAGTTACGTTAAGGCAAAATAATAAGAAGTGCAACACAAAAGTTAAGTGGGAGGTGCTGGAATATTGGCTTAAAGCCACCACCTCTCTCAGTACACTCTAGAGTCTAGCTGGGAGGTGTGCTGGCTACGAAAGCACGGAACATTCTGAAGACTGATGTTGGGGCGACCCCAGACATCGGGTAGTATTGGGGGGCGAGTGCAGGTGCAGCCAGACCGGCGACCAATCAGCGGAGCCGTAGCGATCAACGGGTAGTTTGGTGATTTGGGTCCGAACAGGTGGCGGGCTGCATACGTTTCTGCTCACCCTTGCAAGCCTTGCTGGTGCTGGTGTTGTTGTCGTTGTTGGACATTTCTTCCATAGTCTTTTTATATAATTGTGAAGACGTAATTTTGGAGGGAAGAGCAGGCTCAATCTCTTGAAGGAGATTATCGTCACAACTCTCCCCCGAAGCCTGCGGTTCTGGAAGAAGTACGTCGTTATGTGGTGGAGTAATGGATGGAGTTGCTTCTACTTCATAAACTCTGGAGAGATCATGGGCTAAGATGTTGTCAGACTCTTGGTATAGCGTGTCTCCAGGTTGAATTTCTGCAGGTAGCAAGCCCATAGTAGAAGACGTTGAGATGAGAAGTGGGCGTGCTGCAGGAGGTGTAGGGTGGTGTGGTCCGTATTGATGGTGGACCGAGCACTTTTCAGGTGTGGAGTGAAGTGCTGAAGCTTCAGGATGAGGAAGAGTAGCTCCTTGCCAATTGTTCCGTAGATCCTTGTAGCAGTAGTCGCTGACAGGTGTATTCTTCTCGCCTCGTTGCTGCATCACGACACCACCATCGTCGGTACCATTGGCGTCGACATGGAGGATGTAGGGCTTATCTGACGAGGTGAGAGTGGAATTAGAAGAGGGCATAGGAGCACGAGTATTATCCTGAAAGCATTTGGGAAGATCATTAAGGATTTTGGAATTAGAAAGCGCCGACTCCTTGTCAGTGCTTTCGGGAGAAGAAGCCGGGATGGTCTCACTGTGGATGTAGGGTTCTGTGAAGGTAGAACAATTAATCAAGACAGTGGGAGGAGTACCATTATATTGCTTCAGGAGGTTGACGTGGCACAGCTGGGTCTTCCGCCGCCTATCTGGAGTCTCTATCACATAATTATTATTATTCCTGCACTCTTTGACGCAGTAGGGTCCTGAAAATCTGTTTTGTAAAGGTGAACCTGGGATAGGGAAATAAGCAAGGACGAAGTCTCCCGGCTTGAATTTTCTTACTTTGCTGGTCTGGTCGTAATGAGTCTTCATTCTCACCTGGGCTTTCAATAGATTATCATGGGCAAAGCGGTGGACTCTCTCTAGAATGTGCTGAAGGTTTTGAAGAAACTGGGGCACATTCTGATGTTCACTGAAGGTGGCATCTCTGAGAGAGTCTTTGAAAGCCTTAAGGGGAGTACGGCACTTTCGGCCGTAGAGCATCTCATAAGGAGATACTCCTAGGGACTCATTGGGGAGACTTCTGAAAATACACATTATTAGGTCAATCTGCTTATCCCAATCCTTTGAGGTTTCACTACAAAACTTTTTCAAGAGTGCTTTGATGGTCTGATGACTACGTTCAAGAGAACCCTGTGAAGCAGGATGATAGGGGCTGGACAATACCTGTTTGATGTTGAACTCCTCCAGTGTCCTTTTGAAGAGATCACTGGTGAAGTTGGTGCCACAGTCACTTTGAATCTCCCTGGGAAATCCGTATTGAGTGAAGATCTTCAGTAGATGTTTGATAACCGTAGCAGCCGTGATGTTCTTCACTGGAACTGCTATGGGAAATCTGGTGGTAGGACACAGGATGGTTAGGATGTAGGCGTTACCTGAACTGGTCCGAGGTAAAGGACCAACACAGTCTATTATGAGTCTGTGGAAAGGTTCCGCAGGCACCTGTATGGGAATCAGTGGTGCTCTGGGAATGGAGACGTTCGGTTTGCCTGCCATCTGACATGTATGACACTGTTTTACGTACTGTTTGACGTTGTTTACCATACCTGGCCAGTAGTAGTCTTGACGAATCCCATGGTAAGTCTTGTTGAAGCCGTAGTGGGAGAATGCTCCATGGGCCAGGTGTAGAATAGTGGGCCGCAGGCTGGTGGGAATCACAAGTTGTTCGGTGTTGGCCCAATCGTCCTCCTCCTTCAGTTTACTGGGTCTATATCTGCGGTAGAGCAAGTCGTTCTCTAGGAAGAACCCAGGAATACTGTCGGGTTGAGTCTCAGCCTGGAAAAACAATGGTGTTAAAGTAAGATCTTCCCTCTGCAACTTACGGAACTCCAACTTGGTCAGATGCGGGGGTAGTTTCTGAGGGTCTTGAGGGACAGCGGTAGCAGTAGAGTCAGCTGGCTGTGGACGTGCGGCTTGTGCACGGGTGGTCACGAGAACCGGAGGAGAAACTTCACTCTCTTGAACCTCTGCTGGAACATACTCAAGAATAGGGTTACTTGGCACAGAGTTACACACCTGGGGTTTGTCCATGACGATCAGGTTGGTTGGTTGCAGGTCTTCTGCCAAGTCGTTGCCTAGGAGAAGTTGCACTCCAGGCATGGGAAAAGGCTTTTCCCTGACGGCGACTTGGACTTCCCCGTTCACGTAGGGACAATCCAGGTGGACTCTGGCGAGAGGGTATGGAGTAGTAGCAGTGAGGTCAGTGATGAAGACCGTTTCCCCGGTGTAGATTATGTTGGGCACAGCCGACTTCAAGATGATCGATTGTAGAGCCGCTGTGTCCCTCAAGATCTTCAATTTGAAACGTCCCTCCGGATTTGAACCGTTGGCAGAGACAGTTCCAGTATACAGGTGGTTACTGAAAAGAGAAAGATCATTAACATCAACACCAACATTCATCACAGGCTTACCGGACTTAGGAGGAGTTGGTTTGGGTCGTTGTTGGTCAGTGGTTCCCTTGTATTGAGACTTACCACACTTGTCTATGGTATGTCCATAGAGTCTACAATACTTGCAGTACAGTTGTGAACCAGCTTGATCGGGGCTCACCTTCTCGTAACTGTACCACGACTTCTTACTGGAGGATGGTTCGGGTGTCAGCCGGTGGATGAGGCTGTAAGTGTCAGCCGACTTAGCACACTTCAGGTAGTCGGTTTCTTCTTTATCTGCTAAGTAGAGGCGGACAGGAGGCGGCACACGTCTCAAGAATTCTTCAACAAGCATCAGGTTCACGAGTTCTGTAAAAGTAGAGACATGTGCTGCTTCCAGCCATTTCATGAAATACCTCCGTTTCGTGTTAGCAAACTCGAGGAAGGTAGTGGTACTTGCCTTCAGGTGGTCACGGAATTTCCTTCTATAACTTTCGGTGGAAAGTAGGTAGGCGTCTAACACTGCTTGTTTCAGAGTGTAGTAGTCATTCTCAGACGCCAAAGTACTGAGTGTGACTGCAGCTCTACCTGTAAGATGGACTCTGAGAAGTGTTGCCCATTGGTCGACAGGCCAACTGAGTTGATTAGCAAGGGTTTCAAAGGTGGTAAAGAACACATCAACTTCTGCTTCTACAAAGGATGGCATTAACTTACTTGCATGTGATATATTAAAACTGACGGGAAGATTGGCAGTAGCTTGCTGGCGTTGGGTGAAGTGTGAAGTTTCCAAGGAGATTTCGCGTTGACGACACTCTAGAGCCAGAGTCGCTTGTTGCTTGTCATGTTCGCGTTGTATTTCCAACTCGCGTTGTTTGGTTTCAAGCTGTACTCTTTCACGTTCACGGAGTAATGCGACCTCGCGTTCGTGTTCTTCTCTCCTCAAGGCAGCTTCGCGTTCTTGTTCGTCTCTCCTCAAGGCAGCTTCACGTTCTTGTTCGTCTCTCCTCAAAGCAGCTTCGCGTTCGTGCTCTTCCCTTCGTATGGCAGCTGCTTCTCTTTGCTGCTCACGTTCAATCTTGGCCAGCTCTAGTTTAAGTTTCATCGTAGCCAAGTCAGTTTTCTCTGCAATATAGTAAGTTTCATGAGTTTCAGAGTCTATCTTACCTTGCTCTAAATAGTAATCCAGCAACAGGTTGTGTAGGTCATTTTTGTTGGCTTGGTAGGGAACTTCTAGTTGATACTCATGTGCAAGAGTTTGTAGTTCAGTCCTCTTGGCACGACTTAAAGTCCCTATTTCACCTGCTGGATTTGCACGGAAAGTTTGGAGACGAAACATGGTGAAATTAGCAAATAAAGGTACACGAATGTTCAATAATGAAATGTCAGAAACAGGACAACGTGGCAACTGGCACCTATCCTGTGTGATCTTTAACAATTAACGTTAAGTGAAAGATATTAAATGATTAAATTAAATCAAGGGCGCAGGAAATCTTGTACCCGGTACTCATGTAAGAGAATAAGGGCAAGAAAATCCTACTAACAAATGAAACAAAGTTTCGAAAACAAATGAAACAGTTAAATGCTTCAAAAGTAAAATTGGTAGTCCAAGGATGTAGGCATACCTTGCCAAGTCTCTATAGGACATAAAGCAAGTTTTTCCTACTGAATTTAATATGATACTTACAGAATTAGCGAACTTTTGTGCTCTGAAAAAATAAGCTAATTCCCTACCGTTGTATGTATCATCATCTCTGACTGACGTGTAGGGGTGCGAGGTGTCAACTGGTGACGAGAACTGCTGCTGAGGTCCCAATTCAGCAACTAAAGTTCGAGCTAGAGGAACTATGGCCCTCTTTGTCCTCCTACAGTCAGATTGCAGAAGATTGGGTACTCTTGACCCGGGGCAGACCACAGTACCAGGGTACCAATATGATGATCTGTCAGAATGAGAAATATTCAAGGGACATAGATGGTAAACACGAGTAATAACAAGGAGGGAGAGATGACCAATTAAGAGTATGACTGCGGCCTACAGTCACCACGTAATCCAAAGTTGTCTCACCTTCACTATATGTTACTCTCGTAATGCACAATACACCGCACCTTATAAAAAATGAAATTGAATGAAAAATAGTAAAGCTACGTTAACAAAGTTAAATACGCTTACCATAAATTACCACTTGGCACCAGTACCTGAGTGAAGCTCCTAGGACAGGCCCCCATATAACTTGTGACGGTAACGCGTTGGTGTTCGGCTGTTTAAGGCTAGGGGTATGGCCTCGTCACATAGTTATAAAAAAAAAAATAGAAAAACTGGAACTTCGTCTGTGGTAAGGTAAGGAGAAGACACACAAAACACAAGTAAAACTTTAACAATGAAATTTTAATTACGTTAAATAAATCAAAACATGAAAATATGGACAAACAAATATGTATAATAAAATCAATGAATCAAAATAATAAGAATACTTAAATGACACAATGAAAGTTACGTTAAGGCAAAATAATAAGAAGTGCAACACAAAAGTTAAGTGGGAGGTGCTGGAATATTGGCTTAAAGCCACCACCTCTCTCAGTACACTCTAGAGTCTAGCTGGGAGGTGTGCTGGCTACGAAAGCACGGAACATTCTGAAGACTGATGTTGGGGCGACCCCAGACATCGGGTAGTATTGGGGGGCGAGTGCAGGTGCAGCCAGACCGGCGACCAATCAGCGGAGCCGTAGCGATCAACGGGTAGTTTGGTGATTTGGGTCCGAACAGGTGGCGGGCTGCATACGTTTCTGCTCACCCTTGCAAGCCTTGCTGGTGCTGGTGTTGTTGTCGTTGTTGGACATTTCTTCCATAGTCTTTTTATATAATTGTGAAGACGTAATTTTGGAGGGAAGAGCAGGCTCAATCTCTTGAAGGAGATTATCGTCACAATATATATATATATATATATATATATATATATATATATATATATATATATATATATATATATATATATATATATATATATATATATATATATATATATATATATATATATATATATTATATATATATATATATATATATATATATATATATATATATATATATATATATATATATATATATATATATATATATATATTATATATATATATATATATATATATATATATATATATATATATATATATATTATATATATATATATATATATATATATATATATATATATATATATATATATATATATATATATATATATATATATATATATATATATATATATATATATATATATATATATATATATATATATATATATATATATATATATATAAAATGTTGTACCTAGTAGCCAGAATGTTGTACTCAGCTTACTATGCAAGGCCCAATTTGCCTAATAAGTTAAGTTTTCCTGAATTTATATATTTTACGATTTTTGTTTTGTGAAACGATAAATCTGCCCATTTCATTATGTATAAGTTATTTTGTTTAAATTTCAGTTAAAACTAACGTAGATATATAACCAAACCTAACCAACCCTACCCTACCCAACCTAACCTAACCTATCTAAACCTAACTTAAACTAACACAACTACGTTAGTAATTTATATTCTTAATATAATATAATAATAATAATAATAATTCAAATAAACTAATTGGAAACAATTTATTGAAAATAAAAAAATCACTCGGCCTATTAGGCAAAACGGGCCTTGCATAGTAGGCCGAGAAGTGCGTTCTGGCTACTAGGTATGACATATAGGTATATATAGAATTGATTTTGTCTTTTCATTTATTGTCAACTTAGATTTTAGTGGTATATGTAGCTATCATAAGTTGCAGTTGACACAGATCTATAAAGTATAGCATTATTGCAATAACATCCTTATACTTACACTTCAATCACTAAAATCTTATTTCATTCTCAGAAATTCTCCTGGAAATCACACGGTAAACATCCATAAGGAACCCCAGAATAATGTTGGGGTTGTAAGGAGTCCAAAGGGCCCCGACGGAACTTCTGGGTTTAGTAGAGGTGGCGGTCATCACAGGTAGCGAAAGCTTAAGTTAGCAGTCAGTTTAGTGCTTTATTGCAGTTGGCAAAATGTTGGCCTGAAGCGGATCTAAACTCCATTTAATGTGACAGGAGTTGGTCATTTAAAAGAGGCTAAAATGAATGAGTAACAGTATTTCTTGAATTATCTCACATGTACAGTTTGTTTAACACACACACACACACACACACACACACACGCACACGCACACGCACACGCACACAAAACACACAGCATGTTGTATATATACTGGCTGTATTTTTCAGATCCATCTTTCTTCTTTTACACTATGCCTTGAGTTTTTTTTTTTACACAGTTAATACTCATTATTTATTCGTAGACCATGATAATACTTAAGCTAACAATATAAATTCAGGAAGATTCCACAGGTCATAGAGAGACAAGATTTTGTTTATCTATAAGCAACAGCTATTCGGTTGCTATTATTTCTATTGATGATATATACTGAAGAAGTTAAGCTTGCATATGATCAGCTTGAAGCATGAATCATGTTCTTTTTCAGCTTATGTAAATGCTATTCTTGTTCTTACATTCGTAGTATGAAAGTGTATGCAGAGCCGTCTTTTTTAATGTTTTAGTTATTAAATATCCCCATATTTTCCCTGTGTATAAATATATTGTATAAATAAAGTACGTTGCATAAAAAAATACATTGCATAAAAATAAAACTGAAGTCATGAATATATTACTAAGGTAGTGAGGTTCTCTACTTGGTAATTACAGCTGAAGCATTCTGCATACAGTTTTTCGTACAACATTTAATCCCATTATTCAATTTGTATAAACAAATTCATCTTGGTGTGTATGGATGCTTGTGCTGTGTAGGTTTTTTTTTATATAAACATTAATGTACATCTGAGGTAATTCTTGGAATATGATGGAAATCCTCCAAGAACATTAAAATACATTTTTAAAGGTGTCCTTAAAATTGAGAGTTGAAATATTTTGCCTTATGGTTATGACAACCAATGATAAAATTGCCAATTTTTAAGGGTATAAGAATATAACAGGATGTACTTTAATATAATGGGAAATACTTTCATATGTTATGAGAATGGTTTTCCTGCCAGATTATAGGGGCCCATGTTGTCAGTATTAAAGAGACTGCCATCCAAATATTATTGTTTCTGGCACTTTGTATTAAACAGGTAATATCAATATGCCCTTTTTGTGTATGCATATGTGTACATGCATACATAATACATATATGCATGCATACATAATACATATATGCATGCATACATAATACATATATGCATGCATACATAATACATATATACATGCATACATAATACACATATGCATGCATACAATCATACATATATGCATACATACAATCATACATGTATGCATACATGCAAACATACATAAGACATACACATATATACATAAACGTAACACATGCACACACACACATAATACACACAATCTATCCAGCAAATCAGTTACATAAAGAAAGGGATGACTATTGGTGGCATAAATGTTTGGTAATTAAGAACTGAAATCTGGGAAAATGTATTTCTTGGTGGCCTCATAAATATTGACCATGTGACTCCTAGGTTCCATGATTGCTAGTCTTTGGGCACTGCAGAGCCTGCTAGACAAGCTGCTATACATATTCTAGACATGTGTATTAGTGTTAAATGGATTTAGATTTATATTCACAATGATTTTCCTAATAGGGTTTTGGCTTCTTTTAAGCGGATGGACCGAACTTGAACTACATTTTGGTAGGCAGGAATCCATCTGTGCTCTGAATAGGTTAAGTGCATCTTTGTTATAACTGCATTAGGAGTGGTGTTACCCGATCCTTCCTATTTGAAAGACTGTGTACAAATCTCGAGAAAAGTCCACAAACCATGACCGAAAGTTTGGAAATATCCTCTTTATATTAAAAAAAAAATTGCGTTTGAAATGGCATTAATACTCTTACAGTCGGTGTACACAGGCTTATGTGAGTTTTTTAAGAAAAGGACTAAGTGTCAGTGAAGACAATTTACAAAGGGCTTAAATCTCCATTGCTAGTAAAGCTCAATTTTTTGTGATTTATTGGCAACGCTTCCACAGCATTGTGTCCAAGACTGCATTTTTGGATGGCATGACTGCAGTCTTTGTAAGCCTTGGCTTCTTTTATATTTCATGATTTCTTTGTTTTCATACCAGTATTTTGTTGATCATTAATATCATACTGGGGATTGTTTGTGGGATGTTGTTGAATAAAGGACATTCATAAAGTAGATCACTCCTTAAAGCTTTTTGCTGTTTTTTAAATCTCTCTTAATAAAATAATTGTAAAATAGCCTCAGTAAACTTGTTTCAAGTACTCTGCTGTATTGTGATACCTCATTTTATGGAGCAAATTGACAAGAATGCTTTGAAATTGTCTTGTGCCCTCCTTAGATATTACCACAATTAAGCATAGCCAAATTGGGAACTATTGGTTAAAGACGTTTATGAACACTATTTTCACTCGTAATAAAAGCCCACGAGATGGTGCTTACTCGTCATAACAGAAAAATCATTCAAGTCCAAGAGCTATTAAATTACATAACTATAGTGTAGTGGTTTGCTTAATGTCCCATAAGATGAGGGATGACTAGTGTTCTACATGACAAAAACAGAGTGAGTCTGCCATACACAGATAGGGCTAATCAGATACACTGTACAGTAGTAACTTAAAATTAAATGCACTGTCATACTGTTGTACAATACAACAAAATATGGAAAACTATGTTTATCAATAAGTCTTTCATGTCAAGGTAAAGGGAATTATATGGTTTTGGTAGCAAATGAATATACCTGTACTGTGTTAGTGTAATTATATATATATATAAAATATGTATGTATATGTATTAGTTTGCAAACCAAAGAAGCATGGAAGTGACATTTCACCCATTTTGTGTGTCAGGGAAATGAACTATTACCCAAGAAGTAGCAAGCAAGTTCTCTGATCATTGCACAACTGTCCAATATAGGAAGGAGATGGATAGCAAGTACGTATCTGCTACTTCCTGACATCCTTCGTCAGACTTCTGTCCAATCACAATTAATTCCATGATCCCGGCCGTTGGCAACATCAATGACCTGCTGTTACGGGTAATAAACTCGCACTCTTAAATGTGGCCTATCCCCATGGTCTTCCAAGTACCACTGTAATAGGCAGTGTGAAATGGCTGCATATCAGACATGCTCTTGCCTTGTGTGCATTTATTGAAATGGCACCTTTCTCCATATATACATGGAAGATACTGGAAGGCCAGGTCCCATATTTACTCGGTAAAAAAAGCAATATTCTGGAGCGAATGATATGTTAGGAAGTGCAGAATAGAGCCAGTGAAGAGTAGAGGTCTCATAGGCACAATTAAGAGAACACTATATGAACATTAGAAGTTCACAGCTATTCAGTACTCTCTCAGTAAGAAAAACGTACTGTATATGGTCCTGCAAGAAGTGCAAGACCAACTGGGTTGAAGTGGATATGTGAGCCTGGGGGTCCAACTTTGTTGGACCAAGTAATTACAAGTCAAGCCTGGCCCCAGACTGAGCATGAGGTGTAAAAGAACTCCCAGAACCCACTCCAGGTATTGTTCATACTGCATTGCATTACTTACTGTTTTGCACCTCCTTTAGGAATGTTCAGATTTTCGAGATAATGATAACTCCCTCTGGGTTGCTTGTAATCCTTTGTGAATCTGATAACTTTGATGCAGCCTGCCCTATGTCCTTTTTCTTCCCATTTTGGCATCTAAAATGGTCTTTAGCATCTTTTGAATATCCCATGACTCTGACTGTGCTACATAGTCTTACCAGCCCAGTGCCTTCTTGTTATAGTTACTTATCTGCCACTGTGGTTTGCAATATATATATAAATTGTGCCATAGGGATGGAATATTACTTCTTGTTTCTTCAAGTCTGAAAGAGGGACAGGGTAGTAGATAGGGTGAGAGTTTATCCCCTGATGTGCCAAATGAATGAGGTGTTATTCTCTTGTTACTGTGGTTTGCAAAATATATATATATAATATAAATATATATATATATATATATATATATATATATATATATATATATATATATATATATATATATATATATATATATATATATATATATAAAATAAATAAATTTAATGTATGAATGTATATTCATACATCTTTAATGTTTATAATGTGTCCAGCTCGAAGCTTTTACATGACGAGCAAATATATCAGAACCATATGATTTATGCTTGGCCAAGGCAGATGTCTCCCATGGGACCCCTCTTTAAGATAATGGAAAGTGTTAATAAATATTTGGTAGTGTTTTATGGGCTTTACATCTGGAGGAAATTTCTAATAATTTTTTTTCTGTGGGGAGACCCGGAGGCTTCCTGGAGCTATCGAGTTAATGTATCGGACTGGGACATTAGCTATGGAGTTCGACCTACCAGGGACCACGAACGAGAACCTGGCCCCCTTCAAAGAGGTTTCAGGAAGCAGTGGCCCCTGGAAAACCTTCCCTGTGGTTAAGGATTTTCCTTACCTGCCATTGATTTGGGTTAGGCACCCAGAAAGGTAGGCATAACAAAACAAACCCCACATGGTAATAAACTAACAACTTAAAATCAAACAGAGAGGTAGAACACACTTGTTCAGTTGGCCTCTGAATGTTGGCCTCGAATCCCTAGGAAACAAGCAAACATCACACTCCACTGCCACACCGCCTGTCTGTGCAGCCCTCCCCCTCCCTCCAGGAGGGGAGCCCCAGACCTCTTCGCGCCGGCTACTCAGTTATCCAGTTCGTTAGCTAATGTGAACCGGAGCAGACGCTTGTCTGGCCTCAAATTCTTTGGCGGTGTTTTGCCTTTGTGGTGACCTCTGCTGTGGTGTTGTGTGTGGTGGCCAGGTGTTCCTCATCAGTGCCAGGGCTGCATGCACTTCTGGGCTTCCTTTCCTAAGTGCCCTGTGAGTACTGCCCTTGCGTGTTCGGGTTCTCTTCCCTGAGGCATTCGGGACACCATTTCTGGGGTTGCTGCTCGGCATTTCCCTCGCCCCTTGGGGCCAGCTGGGGTTTTCATGGTCCCTGTTTGGCCTTGGGTAGGAAGTGGTATCGTGCTGGTTGGGGCATCAAGGTGTTGTGCAGCCTGTCTACCTACTACGCGGCGGCCGGTTCCTGTTTCCACCCTGGGGATGCTGTACTTTTGCGGAGTTTTTCTTTTGTTTTTATTTTCTTGCCTGGTGGGGGGTCTGACTGGTTTGGCTATAGTTCCACTTTATATAATTTGGTGGTCCTTTCCTAGGCCCCTGTGATTGTACACATCGCAGGAGTTTCAGTTATCTTGAGATGTTATCTTGAGATGATGATTTCGGGGCTTTTAGTGTCCCCGCGGCCCGGTCCTCGACCAGGCCTCCACCCCTAGGAAGCAGCCCGTGACAGCTGACTCACTCCCAGGTACCTATTTACTGCTAGGTAACAGGGGCATTCAGGGTGAAAGAAACTTTGCCCATTTGTTTCTGCCTCGTGCGGGAATCGAACCCGCGCCACAGAATTACGAGTCCTGCGCGCTATCCACCAGGCTACGAGGCCACCAGTGTTGTACTTGTTAGCTTTGGATTAACCAATTAGCAACACCTTGCCCGGGCTTTCCGTAGCAGTCTACCTACTGGTCCTGGAAAACACTGTCAGGGCTCGATGGACCAATGGATGCGTCTCCCGGGTCCCAGCCTGCCTTGTGCGGGTTTGAAGGTTGCTGTGTGCCCTTGTCTCAGGGTGACAGTCACCTCTTTTGCCTGTCATGCTGCCTGTTGGGTCAATGACACCTTTGACCTGGAGTCTTGTGAGTCGTGTTCTCTGCTTGTTCTCCAATATTATTCTGATATTACTGTTAGGGTACAGATAGCATCTGCATTGCATGCTAGGTTTAGATTACTGCAATGCTCTAGGTTAGTTT